AGCTCCAGTGCATAGTTACGCCAAATTCTTGAAGGCGTACGACTCTCCCCAAACCAAAGGCTTTTTCCCATACGAGTGGTTGGATGATTGGACAAAACTGGATCGTCCGACACTTCCACCCACCAGGCCTTCTACAGCCGACTAAAGGGAACCAACATGACAGTGGTGGACTACGAGTATTGTCAACGTGTATGGCAGGAGCTCAGCATGCCAACTGTACGTGACTTTCTTGTATGGTATAACCACCTGGATGTGGTTCCATTTGTACAGGCAGTAAAAAAGATGTTTCTTTTTACAAGGAAAGAAATATGGACATGCTGAAGTTGGAAATCTCAGTTGCTGGTCTGTACCTCCAACATCACCAACAACCAGGGTGTGTTAGGTCTCAAGAATCGACACACCGGTGGAGCTTACAGCCGTAACTACCGCTTTTTTTCGCCGTCTCGCCCTCCATCGCGGCACCAGTGAAAAACATCTTGAGAGACTGACACGCGCCCTGGTTGCAATTTATGAACAGCGAACGGGTAAAAGTGCTACGGATGGAGTAACTCTCGATGACCTACCCGCCTTAGAGACATTGCTGGAAGTGAATGTTCTGGTGTATGGACTAACCCCTAGAAAAAGTCACCCCCAAAGAAAACAAGAAAAGGAGAAAAACCAGAACCAGAGTGCGTGCAAAGTTAACGAGGCACTCTCAGCGCCGTTATAAAGAAACCATGTACATTAATTTATATACATGTAAGAGACATTTTTTCTTTTATCAACAACATGGACCGGTACAGTGGTACGTATACCTGCTCCAAGTGTCGGAGGGCATTTCGGAAATCATCTAATCTAGTGAGGCATGTACCATGTGTGTGACGTTAACCTCAAGCATCGCTTCCCACGTGGAAAATTCCAACTCCAAATTCCAAAAGTTAGGTTTTCTTTTGCATATTGGGCCACCTACGACTTTGAATGCTATTTTCCCCATATCGGTACTTACCAGCCTGTACAGTTAGCTTCCCTAACCCTGACTAACTCCTAACTCCACAAGCTCCTAAGCTTCAGCGTTGCTAGTAATGTTCCAGGTTACGAGGAGCCAAAGATGTTTTGTATTAAAGCGAGGGAAATTCGGAAGAATTAGTCAAGAACATGGCGGAGTATTTACACTTAAGTGAAACCTCCTACGCCAATCTCATGGAGCAGTTTAAATTGGATAGATGAGATTATCGAACGCGATAACAACGACCAAGCACCAACAAAGTTCATGAAATATAACCTACAAAAGGCTAAGGAGAAGCTTGAGGAGCACCTGCAAGAGTTGCCGGTGTTGGGCTTTAATTCAGGGTGGTATGACATCAACGTCGTAAAGAAATATCTCTAACCCGTATTGGAGGCTTTTGCCCCTGCTGAACTTTGTGATTCGAAGGAAGAGTTTGTATATGACCCTCTCCACGTCCAGTCTCAAGTTTCTCGACATCACAAACTATTTAGCTCCAGTGTATAGTTACGCCAAATTCTTGAAGGCGTACGACTCTCCCCAAACCAAATGCTTTTTCCCATACGAGTGGTTGGATGATTGGACAAAACTGGATCGCTTGACACTTCCACCCACCAGGCCTTCTACAGCCGACTAAAGGAACCAACATGACGGTGGCTGACTACGAGTATTGTCAACGTGTATGGTAGGAGCTCGGCATGCCAACTGTACGTGACTTTCTTGTATGGTATAACCACCTGGATGTGGTTCCATTTGTACAGGCAGTAAAAAAGATGTTTTTATTTTACAAGGAAAGAAATATGGACATGCTGAAGTCGGAAATCTCAGTTGCCGGTCTGTACCTCCAATATCTTTTCCAGACAATGCCAAGAGAGGTCTTTGACGAAGCCAAAAAAGACCTTTACTACACCTTCAAGAAAAACATCGTAGGGGGGTTGCCATTGTCTTCCATCGGTACCACGAGAAGGGAAAGACGCCCATCCGTGGCGTGCCAAAACTCTGCCAGAGCATAGTTGGTTTCGATGCCGACGCGCTCTACTTGTGGTCCATAATATAGGACATGCCCGTCGGCACCTTCATCAGAAGAAGAAAGGCAGAGGAAAACTTCACGCCGATTAAGAGTAAAAAATGGGGCACCATGGCGGCCAAGTGGATGGACTGGGTCTCCTATTCTGAGGGTAATCACATTCAGCACAAGTTCAAAGCCAAGGAGTATCAAGTAGGCCAATTCAGAATACCCATAGATGGATACTGTAAAGAAAATAACACCGTCTACCAATTTCAAGGATGTTTTTGGCACGGACATCCTTGTCATCTAAATCCATCCGCATACAACCGATTAAGAAAAATAAGCAGAGGCGAGCTGAGGCAGCAGACCGAGCAAACATCCACCTACATCTGTGAACAGGGGTATTGACTCGTAGAAATATGGGAGTGCGAGTGGTGACATGTGCAGGCTCCCAATCAGGCCGCAAAGAATTTTGTTGACTCAAGCAGACTACCTCATCACCTTGCAGGAAGATGACCCAGCAACAAACAATAGAGGTTGTGATAGAAGGGTCTATGTTTGGTAAGGTCGAGTACGACGTCGTGGTTCCAGACCAGATGACAGAACGCTTTGCCGAAATGCCACTAGTCTTCAAAAACACACACATCAGTAGGGAGGACATTGGCTGGCACATGCAAGAATATGTTGAGCAAGAGGGACAGATGACGACAAAGTGGAGAGCACTTATTGGGAGCATGTTTGGTAACCGGATCCAGCTGATTACTCCACTCTTCCAATGGTACGCTGAACATGGTTTAGAAGTTCCCCACGTGTACGAGATCATTCGTTTTCAAAAGAGGTCATGTTTAAAATCTTTTAGCAATGCGGTGAACAATGCCAGGTGGGAAGGGGACAGGGACCCTAGTATATCATTACTGGCGGATACTATGAGGATGCTGGGCAATTCTGCTTATAAAAGGCAAGACTGTCATCAATCAACTCAAACACACAAATCTCCACGTCTGTAGCAATGAAACAGCTCTGATGCGGAATAAGGATCCACATTTTTGAATGCTAGACACAATTGAAGAAGGGCTGCACGTGGCTAAAACCAAAAAGCAAAGTAGAACTAAATTTACCCATCCAAATTGGGTTTTTTGTATACCAATATGCCAAATTGTGCATGCTGGAGTTCTATTGTGACTTCCTACTCAAGTTTGTAGATCCATCCGACTTTCAGATGTGTGAGATGGACACCGATTCGGCCTATCTCGCCATCTCTGGGGAAAATTGGAGTCTGTCATTAAGCCAGCAATGCTGCAGCAATTTCACAGAGAAGAGAACTTATGGTTTTCGCGCGATGACACAGACATCAATCATGCTACATGTATGATAAACGTACACATAGTATATTTAAGGTTGAAGGGGGGGGGGGGGGAGAGGGAATTAATTCCTGTGCATAACCAGCCACCTCCCAAAACAGAAGCTGGCAAGCCGTTCAAGTGATCATCAGCAGGTCCAACACAAGGCAACGACGACTCCATCTCAGTCCAGAGAGGGTGATAGTGCATTTTCCAAAAAATTACAGCAAGTATTTCTGTATTACTGTACGGATTGAACAAAAAACTCACACAAACATTTCTTGTGTTAAAACAGAGTTTAAGATGTACATGTACCGGTATACACGATGTAGGTCCAAGATCTCACTGCAAGAAATCTAAGAAATAATCAGAAGCAAAATATCATTACTTGTAAAAAAAAAAAAAAAAGGTTCTACTTGTAATCAAATTGTAATCAAAGTTTCATTGTTTCCCCCCCACCTTTTTTTCTTTTGGTCAATGCCCATGATTCCGAAAAAAAAGTGCCACCCTCAAACTCCAGGAGGAACACCTACTGACTGCTGCTAAGGAATGATCGCAGTACTCATTTGTAAGAGAGTAATGAGTCCAGGGAAGTGGCGCAAGAAATCAAGATATCGGAGCTCAAGAAATCAGCACAAAATACGAAACTGGTAAAATTCCATTACATGTTCACTTGAATTTTGCAGAGCAGGTCCAGTACCCTACCAACCCACATCAACCAGGACCGATTTGCATGTACTTCAAGGTTCCATGCAAGTGACAGGTTTTGGTGTTAATGCAGAGGGCCTGCCAGCGCAGGTTTGTTATCTTGCAGATGAAGGGGTCAGTGTCGGCAAAAGAACCAATGTTGTGTTGTGACGACCTGCAGTCATCCCTTGTTTATGATGTCATTATTAAACTCTGGGCATTGAGCACCGTGGACGGCTCTGACTGCACATGTATTTTTGAGCCAGGCACATGAATTTGGACGATGAAAGAATGTGTCTTTGATGTCATTCAATGGTGACAATATATGTGTTTCTTTTTGTCCAGTGTAACCTTCAATAAATGTGGCCAGGTACGTTGGCCTCACACTGATACCAAGTGAATATTTATGAATTTGATGAACATTCTAATTTTATACAACTATTGCTAGTTTTCAAAAGACAAAACAAACATGAAAAACCCTTCCCATAACAAAAAACCCATAGTTTTAAGTAATTGTTGCTCTTTCTGCTTCTATTTGTTCACCTACATACATTCTGAACTTTCCCACATTTGTATCTTTGAAGAATGAAATTTTCTGTCAATTTGTAGAGTGCTCATTGGATTGTACTGATGTCATACTCTCCAGAACATGCAGAAACGGAAGTAAAACCTCACTCTGGCGAGCTCCTATAGAGTACCGAAGTGTGATGTCTTTATTCTTGTTCACGCACTGATGTCTTCACAAGTACACATACAAACACTAAAGCTATGCGCATGAACCAGAATATGCGGCACACTTTGGTACTCTATCATCACAGAGGCCAAATGATCACACACACACAAATTATCTTTGCTTTAAAAGACACTTTTTGATGGGGAAAGTATGAACATGCAACACAGGTAGAGAGTCTGCATGTTATATACAACTCACCATTCCCACAATGACAATTTAACTTTGGAAAGTATCAGTGCAGCCGCTTTGGTGGATACCTTTTCATGTTGCCACACCATTCAAAATTCTGATCTTGGCAGACGAGCCAGCTTTCCTGCTGTGGACGGTCAGCACCTAACATGACGAAATATTTCAGAAAACAGGTTATTTTGTTAAAATCAAAAGCAAAAAGACACAGATGGTTGTTTTCAAATGTTTCAAACTCTTTGGTGATCAGACATTTTTGAGTTAAAAAACTACTGAATTTTTCTGTAATAGTAAAACTTTTTTTTCAAAAACTTTTCTGTGGTATACACAAATTTAAATCCACATACTTAAGTTGCTTCATGTATACATGTACCATCAGAAAGATGAACAACTAGACTTTGACAACTTACTAACGCAATATTTAAAAAAATTGTCATTTATATGTAAATGTATGCCAAATATATACATTATCTTCAACAACAACTACAATGGAACGTCGCTATACCAAACACTGTTATACCATGGAGCTATACCGAACATTCGGATATAGGAACATCAGCCTTGGCTCCTGATATTGTGTACAAAACCGTCCAACCATTGTTGTTGGAAGAGCAACAAATGGCTATTATTTGCCCAAGAAATAGAAGGGAAAAGCCACCCCTGTAAGCTCAAAAACTGTGTAAGTACATGATTCAATGGTCGCACATGTTTAAAGTGGTCTTTCAGTAACTACCAGGGTGTACAGGGTAAAGTTCTGCTTACGGAATTGAAAAGATGATTGGACAAGTTTAGTGACTCAGCAAGTGCTTTGTAAATGCCACTACGCTATAACAATGGTCAAAAGAGGGCGCCACTAATGTGTGAAAACCGCTGTACGAACTATTTCTGTGGATCCCACGATGTTTGTTATACAGCGACGTTCCACTGTAAATGAAATCATACAGTTGCGGGAGAACATGCATTCACGTGTATAAAATGTTAACACTCCAAAGGGTGGTTCATATTCAGCATACTATTGCCAATTCATCACAGCAGTGAGCCTGCTTGAAATTACAAAACTTCAACGCTTTTGAACTCGTGAGTACATGTATCCAGCAAATGTTTTGTTAGATTAAATCTGTTCTGCTTTTGCATCGTCATCTGGTGGCATAAATGTACTATACATTCCATCAGTTAATTTTAAGTTCTTTTGCAAAATGAATGACTGAGAAGGTTTTATTTTCTGGATTTTCTGGCTTTTCTGGCACACACCGCAACACAGATCTTTGGATATTGTCCCTATTGGAAGAGATGGACATTTGAAATTAGAACAATGGAACATGAACGTTCTTTAAAATGTGAAATAGGCCATCAGCCTGGGGTTCGGTCGGTATCAAATGAGGGGAAAATGGCAGCCAAAACATGCTTGTTACCACATAAATTGATCTGGTAACAAGCACACTGACGGCCAAAAAAATTGAAAGGGATAACACCCAAAAATCTGCCACCACTCACACTGCAAAGCTATCATTTGATACCCGAGCCTAAAATTATTGTCTCAAATGACTTACTTTGTTTCCCTGGTGATTCTGGAAGATCAGCTTGGGACACTTGTAGACAGCGTGGGCATACATGGCCTCCCTGAACTCCTGCACTGTGGCTGTCTGGGCCCACTTGGTGCGAACACGGTCCGAATTTTTCTAATGATGAGGAACAGACAGAGTTTAATAATTCTCCTTGCAGGAACTGTAAATGGCACTGTATGATCTATACACAAAAGCTAACATGCGTGCTTGCAGTGTTTTATCGAATGTGTACAACCACAAGGAGTCTTAAACTTGCAGAGAGTGAAATATATGTACAAATACATGTATCGGTAGGACATTTACCGACCATTTACCATACCCTACTTTGTGACAACTCCAAACATGCAAAATAGATTGTGCTCAGTTGTTTGTCTAGGTAGCTTTTTGTGTGTGTCTAATTTTACCCCCTTCCTCCCATTAGCATTAACACACCTGAGAATTGGCACACAGTGATAATGGTGCCCCTGAATAAATCAACAGAAATGCTTTGCCTTTTCTGTGGAGGGCATTCGTACAGGAATCCATAGACCATACTACTGTGCTTTCAGCACTCTTTTAAGACAGGATAGGAGCTGATGGCAGCGACTGCAGGACTAGTTTCTATTCTTTTGACAGGGACACTTTACAAACCATTTACAAGTTACAAGTTTTTTGTCTAAACAAGTTATGTGCCATTAGTGCAAAGGACAAGCTCAAAATTGGTCGTTGAAAGTCCCTTTTGTCCAAACCGTTTTTGTATCTAATTGTAGCCTCTGAATCACTAATAGAAACAGAGAAGCTAGCCTAGTAAGATTCTGTTCAATTGTTTCAGAATGGCTATTCACTTGAAGTCTTCTTATGCATCTGGTCAACACAATGGATCAGGTTTACATGTAACCCATTGACTGTGCTACAGGGTAATCCTATACGAGAGCACTGCCCAGGTCAGAAGTGACAGTCAGTGAGTCAGTCAGATAGAAAGGTACAAAGACGACACTAGGCTGGCCCTCTGGGAATAGCAAAGACCGAACTTCCACAATGTAACATACTTGACAAGTAAAACAAAAATATATACAACTGTGGGTCTACTCACCAAGTCAGCCAGCGGAAACTTGCCGGTGTAGCCCTCATTGATGTCCAGGTTTGTCAAGTCAATGTACACCTGACCCAGAGATTCAGTGTTTCCCAGGAAGGCCTTGTCCAGCACATGCAGGACAATATACCTTGACATACCAATAAAGTTAAGGAGAATGATTGTGAGTTTAAACACCACTTAAGTGTTAACCATGGTTTAACATGAACCCAAACTAGTCGAAATAAAGGCATAAACATTGATCCTGATCATTTACAGGCATAAAGCAAGTAACAGCCTGAATCCTCCCAAATATTTATTATTAATATTATGTTCTTCCAGTTTACTTCTCGTTCAAGACTTTTCCATGGCGCGCACGGCACGTGCAGTGTGCTCAACCTCGCCTTATGTAAAAAACATATCAGTGCATGGCTCTCAAGTATGCGGAGCACGCGGCATGTACTTCGTATATGTGTTATGGGGCAATATGTATGGGGCAATGCGGGGCCTCGCCACCGGTTTTAACTTTGCCGTTTGAACACCTAGTGTAAATTAAACAGCGGTTTAAACCCACCCTCGTGACGGACCCTTGACCACTAGGAATAAAGTTAACTGTCTCGGGAATTTATGAATTTATGCAGAGTCCTTAGCACACATAATATCAATCACCATTCACCTGTCTGGCAACTCTTCCCGTGGGACGTTGTACTCAAATATCTCCTCCCATTCCGGTTCCCGGCTGCCCTTCTGGACCTTCGTCTCCTCCACTTTGGGAATGCCAGGAATTATTATCTATTGAAATAGGACAACAGTTAATATAAGAGCAACTCTCATATCATCCAAGATATATCAATGATTACGCTGAAGCACCTATGAAGCATGTTCTAGTCAAGTCCATCACAAGTCCTCACAATTAAGTCCTCCAGACCCAAGTCGAGTCAAAAGCTGTTAAAATCCCTTTAATTCTGTTTTTGTCGTGTTATTTACATGTGTATGACCGCTTCTGTTAATCACCTTGGGATTTACTTGCAGCAAACATTTGACAACAATGCTACATGTATGAATACATTCCGTGAGGTTTGATTTGAACAGTAATGAACCGTTCCCTTGGCACCTTAATGCATCCGGCAGAAACTGATGCTACTGGTGTGGAGCACTTTAAACCCATGCTGGAGGACCAGAAGCTGATTTCACGAAAAACTGCACAGCTTGCACCCTGCGGAAGACTTACGCAACAAATTTGTTGCGCAGCTGCGCAATAAACTTATGATCGATTTCATGACACTTTGCATAGCTACGCACCGTTTTAAATAATCTAAACATCTTGGACGAGGTTAATAACAGCATTTACGATGGCTGTTTATGCATGAATTTGTTCGTTCACGAAACAGTCGTTGAATCACCTCCGCCCACCATTTTGGAAATTCTTTTGTCTGATTTTCATCGGAATCATGCGACAACTCTATAAATTCTGTCATGAGTACAATAGAAATTCATTTACTTCAAACAAGAAGCTGTGAGTGTCTTGTATCAACCTTGATAAGTTGTGCAATAACAGGCTCCACGACGATCACGATTTGCTGGTAAAATATGTCATTTTCAATCGCTATGCCACAACTTACGCCACCTACATGTAAAATGATTGCACAAGTTACGGCATAATTTATTGCGCAAGTCGTCGACTTACATACTATGAGACTTTTGTGAAATGTGTCATAGGTGAAATGTTACACAGCTTCCCAAATCAATTGTCCATTGCGTAAAGTTTCGTGAAATCGGCTGCAGTACTAAAAAAATTTGCAGTACGTATTACACCATTTTTAATTACTCTGAAATTTGTGGGTAAAAAAAAAATCATATTTCACAAGTTTCTCATTCAAACATAGCCAAATACAGTGTTGATGGAAACCCTTTTGACCCGAGTTGAACTAATGACAGCAAATGGTTGAGTGAAATTTGACCCCGATTATAATGTGTACTGAAAGTGTACTGCAAACTGTAATACTGTCCTGGAACCATGCATGGAAAATGCCATACCAACGCCCAAGGGGGACGTAAATGATCAATCATCCCGACAACAAGAGTCAGCAAGTACGTGTACCTTGATATATGGGTCGGGTAGCTTGTTCTTCTCCCTGCACGCCAATTCAGTTGCTCTGTGAATGGACACCTGTAATGTTTCCGGCAGCTTGTAGGAGAGACTAATCTCTAGTTCACCCCTGATGTCAAGATCAGTCTGGAGAAATAAATGTTGCATAATTAACAGACATGAAACAGTTATCTGCTTTTAGTTTAATAGCCACAGGTATCTGTCAAAAGAAAAGAAAACCAATTTTATTCCAAATTCATGGAGATGGAAAAACTGCTTCGCAAATTTAAGTAACGCATTACAGTCAGAGATGAAACTGGCCTTGGCAACAAAAATCTGAAATTGGACCTTGGTTAAGAGCCACAGCGTCGCGCAGCGCAGTGCAGCACAGCGCATCAATGTCATAGGTCAGTATTGAACCTTTTCTCCAGCCGGAAAGCATCTGATTAGTGTTGGTCTAGGTGTTTTACCCTTGTGCACATTTTACGTGCCATTTTCATTGACTCTTCTTGGAAATAATAATTAAAAAAAACATTTTGTAGAAAAATCCTTAAGATATCATTTTTGTGGGATGGTTAAAAAATCTGAAATTTCATTGGAAAAGTTTTAAAAATCTGATTTCAGATTAAAATCTGAAAAGTTTCATCTCTGTAAAGTAAACAGCAAACGAAGGACAAGCCAAACAAATCAGGGACATTTTGGTCTGGTATCTTATAACTATTTCCTGAACGAAACAGAATTCGTTAAGCCGAACTCCCTAGGCATTTTACTAGGATGTAACCTCAATCCTACAAAATGCTCCAACTGCCTCCATGTAAAAATTACGTACAGCATCAATCCTGCAAAATCCTCAGTTTTTTTTTCTGTTTTTTTAATGTGGTCCTTGGAGGGGTGATCACTGCGTCAATCCTGCGAAATCCTCCAGCTATCACTGTCAACACCAGTGACATCTCGCTATCACTGGCAGAGCCAGTGACATCCTGGAGCAGTGGGGAGGATTTCAAGTATAATCTAGGCCTAAATACATGCACGGCTGAGCGTAAACAGCACAAGGTCTGGCCTTAGTAAGACCTTGACACAGTGCATCCTCCAAAATCAGCATAATCTTTTTGCCATCTAACATGCAAAATCCTCAAGTTTTGCACAAGGATTTTGCAGGACTTGGGAAAGTTATACAAAGACTTATATTGTTCGCTCTGTGTAAGGATTCATGAGCCATGATGTCAGCAGGAAAAAACTTGCAGTGCATACCTCAGCTTCCAGTTCAAACCAGCGAGTCGTGATCTCACTCCAGTCAATCTGGCCGAGCTCAATGATCTTCTCTCCCATGAAATCATCCTTGCCAAGCTGGTCATGACTCAGCACCTACCAAGGGGGGGGGGGGGGAGGGGGGGGAATATAAACCATATAAATTCAAAACACATTGTACACTTGACAAATCTAATCAGTGGCAATAAATCGTTGTGCCACAACTTTCTGATTATAAGATGGAATCTGATTATAAACATGCAACTGTGCATGCCCTGAGAAATTAGCTGTAGCAGGATTTGAGCAGGCGACCTTCAGAATACTGAGCTTATTCTCCAACAACTGAGCTAATTGTATCCAGGCTTACTCTGACTGCCTTGCACGTTGTCAATGACTTTGTTGAGTTTTGGTTGAGCTTGGCAGAGCACTTCACAGGTTCAGATCCTGCGTCAGTCAGTTTCTTTGTTCCTCTTTTGTATATTAATGGCGTTCACTGGGTGCGTCAACCATTTTGGAAAATATAGTGAAAGACTCACGGAGGGGGCCATTCACCTTTGTTGGAACCGTTTGCCGATGTTCATGGCAAAAAAGTTGGTCCAACTTGCACAAACATTAAAGGTAGGTCCATCATTTGTAATTTGTGCATTATGTTCATTTGAAGCAACAAAAGTGCTCTTCTAAAGAATGGTGATGAACAACTAACCCAATGAAATTCACCTCAGTGAATGCTGTATATTCCCAGAAAGCTATAGACTCGAGGGTCTCGATTTCAAATCAAAGTTGCAGAGTCGTGTTTTGAATTGGACCGGAATTCAGCACCCGAGACACCTTTTATTACTGAGCCAATTGCAGCTACGCGATGGCACGCACTGAAACAATGAATAATAGCAACTGCGCGCGTGTGTGTCGTGTCAATGCTTGCACACACTTCGCCAAATAAAAAAACAACGTCTTTATTTTACACATCATTGGAAAAGCCTTCTTTTATTGATTGTTCAAAATGACAGCTTGCACGAAAGAATAATTTAACAGGAAGATAAATGTAGTCCCATTACTATCTTCAAACCAAGTAAGCTTTTGCACAATAATTACAAAAAATGTACGTCTGTTACTTTGTGGATAGCTGCAAATGATGGACTGTACCTTTAAAACACTGGCAAGCAGACATTAGCTTTGTTCACTTAAAAAGAATGCACCCCTAGTCAGTTTTGTGGCTACAAAAAGAAGTTTCTAGCAATAAACTACTGCGGTATAAATCTCGAGGATGTTTGGACCTTGGGCACTTGTTACCTGTATACGGAGCAGGCTTGTAGGGATATCCTCATCCGCCAGTGAGAAAGTGAAGATCTCATTGTAGGTTGGGTTGAGCGAGTGATTCACGTAGTTGGTCATCTTGAAACCATTCGTGCTGTTGTCAGGAATGAGGTCCAGCTGCAAATAAGCAACATTTAAGCAACAATACTTAACCAAATTAAGTTGTGAACAGAATTGGAATGAAGCATTAGAGTTGCAGGGTTTGACAGCATCTACATATGTGAACACAAAACTTTAAACAGGTCAGTGTAACAATATTTGCTATAAAATACTAGCCCTAAAATCTATCCTTTTCTGAAAATTACAGCAATTGCAAATGTTGCATCCGTGTACAGTCGGCTCTCGTTATAACAAACTTGTTTGGACCTAGCCAAATTGTTTGTTATATCAGAATTTTGTATTAAGAGGAACATCAGTCCCACTCATTGGGCATATAAATGCACAGTCGGGACCAAGGCTTTATGTTTGTTATAACCAGAATTTTGTATTAACAGAGTTTGTACTAACGAGAGTCGACTGTATGTAGAACCCCTCTTAATCGTATTGTACATGCATGGTGATTTTGGTGATTTTGGTGAAATCTACCCCTAGTGGATTCTGAAGGATCTAGGCAGGAACCGAAGTGGTGCTAATCAGTTTTAGTTTAGCGGGGAAGACTACGCGATTTCCTTTGGCGAACCCATCTTGTATATTACATGCATATACCTTGTTTCAGTTAACACGATGTAAAGAAGTATTTTAATTAAACAAAAAAATGTTAATGTATATGGTGCATGGTGATTTTGGTGAAATCTACCCCTAGTGGATTCTGAAGGATCTAGGCAAGAAAGGCCCAAATCTTTCATCCATACCTTGACATATGGATCCGACTCCTTGCCTCGGAGGTCCTTTGCACTCAGGTCCCGCGCACCGATGACTTTCACCATGAGCAGCTGACGGTGTTGATCATACTTCAGTGACAGCTTAACCTCGCCCTTGGCATCGCCTAACGTCTTCATGACTGCTGGGTCCATCTTCTTATAAAGCTGCTTCAGGATGTAGACACTTTCCTGTTCCAAAAGGGAATACGGTTTTAATTTTTACTTTAGGCCAAAAAAAAAAAGTCTCCGGTTTCTGGTATGCGCGCGCGTCGCCGTAGCCATGCGCGTCGGCAAAATGAAAAATTTTTTTTTCAAAGAAAGATGATGTCTCAAAACCACCAAACTCACTGGTTTGACTGAAATCCTGCTGCTGCACAATTTTAACGTGTTTTTAGATTGGGTTATGGTCGAGAATAAGCTTTATGTGACCTCTCTGGACTCCAATTATTTGCACTAAGTTTAGTCGGGCACCATTTGCAGTCATCAGCACACATTTGAAGCAAAAAAATCAGGTAAAAAAAAAAAAAACGCCGCGTCGCCGCACCACTTTTTGGGCAAGCTCCATACCAGAAACCGGAGACTTTTTTTTTTTGGCCTTACTTTTTTTTTTTTTTTTTTTACCAACCAACAGCATGTAAAAATGTAAAAATATTTTACAATAAAAAATTAGGATAAAACATACAATGAGAAACATACACCAAAATATAATTAACCCTTTGACACCGGTATTGGTCGGCCACGGACGGCTCCATAGAGGGTGGAATGTGTACATGTACACGTGCACTCGAGCAGGCATTCAGCCGTTGTGTATGAATGTATGCACTATGCAGCAGGAATGCGGCAATAGCAGCCCCCCCGACTTATACTTTATTGGCTTTTATCGAGCTGCGTCGAGAGCCGTCAGCCGCGATAAGGCTTTAACAGTACAACCACCACCAAAAAAACATGTACCAGGAACTAAAATAAAGAAAAATGCACCCAACAGGAAAAGAGCCCTAAAACACTCATGCAATTGTCAAATTGCATATTTGCGATGCTCAAAATTTGTCACATGGTCTGCTATGAAAAAGAAAGAAATACTATAGAATGTGTGCATTTGTATGGGAAATTTTCGGATAACTTTTTCGCGCATTGGCTAACTGCGGGTTCAGCTGCAGCCAGATGCTGACTGTTCCTTTCCCGGAAAGACATGAAAGATTCCCATATCTGACCATCACTAAATTTTCCATTCAGTGCTAGAGACCTATTTACTATTAGCCCCACGAGTGTGGCCGCGATATTGCTGTGCTGTATCTCTGGCCACACCCTAGCTAGGATGATCCTAGCGTTATGTTTATGCATAACTAGCCACACCCCAGGTTCTCCCTACTACCGAGGAGTTTCTCAAAAAATTACGAAAATTGTCTTATAAATGGTTGTATTCTCTCTGCTGTTCTCCTCTGGAATGCTTAGGTGTCCTAATATCCAATTTTCTGAGAAATGTTTGTTTCTTTCTGGAGCCGATATGCACACGAAAATCATCTGTTGATGGCACTTGGCAGCCATTTTGAATGTAAGAGGCAATGACGCCAGCTATGACATCGCATTTATGCAAATCGATCTTGTCGCTCAGACGCGCAAGTTACAATGCGACGGCTGTTTCTTGCTTGTGACCTACTCCTAGAACTATGAGGCTCCGCGTGAGCGGAGCCTCATAGATCTAGAAGCCCGCAAAATTGTCTGCAGCACAAAACACTAATAAAGTACAAAAACGTCCATCAAAATGCAGACATTTCACACAGAACCGCTGCACAGTTTGCCCCTATACTCCGTACTTTACCTCTTGACATACTCACATATCATGGGCAGAACTAACATAGGTGGATTCTGTCGGTTTTTAGGCCAAAATGATGAAAAATATGCCCTTTCCGCACTGAGCCAACCGAACACTTGAAACGTGCACGCATATGATCGAGCGATGATTTTCGGTTCGCTCGGAGCGCGCCGCGGGGGGTACGGTACATGCACTTGTACGCATGCACATACTATCATTTCGCCTAGGCCTAAGTATATTCATACTTAGTTGTTATTTTGTGGTATAATCTTCACGAAATGACTACGCAAAAGGAGTCCAGCTTTTTTCCTTTTTTTTTAACCCTGAAAAAAATTCTTTTGAAACAGAATGACACAACACTCAACAGAATAAATACATTTTACACATCATTATACCGGTTGGCGTTTTAGAAATATAACAAGACGGCAAAAACCAGTGAAAGATTCAGTAGCCTAGGCCTAATTTTATTGTCAGAATAGACATACTTTGTAACCATCAAATCCTTCGTCAGCAGCTTGTGTAGTCCACGCACCCTGCCTCCTCTTCCTTGGGTGTGCCGTCATGGCTTGCACCAATCTCGACACCCGCTCGTTGTCGGCATTCACTTTGGAGTCAGCCGCCTTGGACCGCGTGGAAATCTTCCTGGACGCCTGTTGCGGCCGTTGTTGTGTCGCGTCCACACTTGAGTTTGCGCCACCCATTTCGAAAACTGTCTCTCCTTCCTTTTGGTGTTTCTTTATCTAATAGTAACCTCAATATATGTTAGATGGCTTGAGAACAAGAATTGTAATGATTTGGAAATAGTTTGCAAATGGAAAACAATCCTTATCGTTCCTAAAAATCATCACAGTTTCACAGTCGAGTGAGACTCCCGACTACGACTCTAACGACGCCATATTGTTTGATGATGACGTCAATGGTGTTCTTGGTGAATTATGAAAAGGACTACTACGGCTGTTACATGTGAATGTTGACATGAAAGGTACGAGTCGACTCAAGCGTCCGGAAAAGCATGGACAGTTTTTACTGTTTAAAATTAAGTGCACTTCCCAATAAAATGAACTCAAAGGGATATCAAATAGTTCTCATAGATTTAAGAGGAGTAGGCCTAGACAGATTAATAAAAGCAAGGTGTCACTAAGAAAAATCATGCAACAAGACAGAACTTCGGTCCTCATATCATTGTCCCGCCAAATTTCAACAAACTGTGCTATCAATATTCACTCTACCCATGGAGGAATCCTCCATGCTCAACCCAAGTACAAGGGAATGGAACCTGCTACCACCCAACATTCGCTCTGCTCCCAATGTCAAAGCTTTTAAAGAGGGAATTGAGCACCTAGATCTCCTCAGCTTAGTTAATAAGGCCCACTTTAAAATTTAGTTCACTGCGCCGGCGCTCCGACCTGTGCGAGATAACCACTTAAAGAGGTGTTTGCCTAGCCTTTCATGTAAACATTTACATGCAACAGCCGTCGCTTTCGAGTCAACTCGCACCTTGGTCAACTCGTACCTATAAGTCGTGCACGGTGTGGTGCCGGTGAAACGGCCGGCGCGCGCGGCACTGCCATTCCTTGTGTATTATATTCACCAACGGTTTGATTTTGTCAAATATATTCTAATCGACAGTGCAAGATGATTCAGTTTCAGAGTTCAATTCAGTTTCACTCAATATATTGTTATTGCTGCCAAGAAGTTTTAGTGATATTTTAAGAAAGTTATTTTGGGAATTTTATTTATTGTTCTTTTTAAGTTATAGGGGGGGGGTCTTTTTTTAATTTGGGGGCCTACGAAAACTTGGGGAAGGGCCAACGAAAATACCGTAGTGTGCCAAAAACACATAGGCCTACCCACACACACCCACAAACACCACACGCGCAGAGAATTTTTTTTTTTAAGTTTGAGGGTCTCTCTCAGAATGTACAATATGTAGGCCTATGCATTGGTAAACTCGAAAAAGATGTTTAAATGATGTTCTTGTGCCAAAACTTTGGCAGTCATCAGAAATTGCCTCAAATCGCACCACAGGGCCCCTATAGAATCTAATTTTTTTCAGGGGCCCTCGGCTTCGCACTCGCACAATAAATTAGTATACTGATTGATACACATGTAAAACTACCACTCCCACTTTGAGAAGCGAATGACGCCCTCTAGATTGGTGCCAACAGGCTGTTTAGGACCTATACCATTTTGGCCTAGCTTGATTTGTACCCCCCTCCCCCCCCCCCCCCCAACAAAAGTGTGTTCTGTATCCGTCCTTGTACCCCCACTCCCAATAGGATAATCTATAGCCACAAATTTTTATTATGTGGTTTTTTTTAGTCAGGGACATTTTCCGGTTCTTATTACATGATTTTCCTAGTGTATCCAACTCCAGTCGTGATTACTCATAACATGCCTTTTGGGGGACATTCCTCATTTTGCCACAAAATGTGCCCCCTCGAGATGAAAATAAGACTGCCCTCAAACGCACAAGAAAACATTATGATTGGTTGCATTTAAAAATGATCTCCTCTCTTGTAATGCAAAAGTGTCCCTCAAAAACACAAATACCCCTCGCGTATTAACAATAGTAAACCCTCTCTCGAGATGGAAAACTATTGCCCCTCTCAAAAATGGAAAACTGGCCTGTCAAGAAATAATAACGCTCCTTACGCTTTTCATGTAATGCAAACATTTTAAAAAGTGTATATCAATGTTGGTATTAAATTTTGTTTTGGGTAACTATTCCTTGCACAATTTTCTCCTCTGTCACACCGACGGAAGGTGCCTTTTTTTCTGAGCAAATGCCTCTTTTTGGTGATGCCACCAGTTGTAAAAACGTTCCGCCGCCGCCGATTGGCGAATTACATGTGCAAGTGTTTAATAGTAAAAATTATACTCGCTTGTTAAGTACACAATACGAACCCAATTCAGATCGTTCAGTCGCCAAAGTTTCATGGATTTTTGTTTCATTCTCAAAGGCCTTGTGACCGTAGACTTGAGTCAAGACGTATGGCAACCAGGACACGAAAAAAAAGACCATGCGAGTGGCAGGCTCGTTGACTCCGTGCGCCGTCATCAGGGGCGTAATTCCCGGAGTGGTTTTTGACCGCGGGGATAGGCTATTGAATCATCCCCCGCTTTTTTGTGATGAGAAAAAAAAATGAGGATTTTTAAAGGAATTTTCCGAACGTTTCAGCAACTAAAATGTATTTAATAGCACTGGAAAGTGGAGAAACAAAGTATAAAAGCATTTAAAAATGTTAGCGCGAGTATAAAGAGCGTCCCAGTATAATGTGTCCAGCCCCCCCCCCCCCCCCCCCTTTTCGAATGTCCACGGCCGGGCAATTCGGGCTTTTTATGAGCCACCAAGAGTTTGCCACGAGAGTTCATTATTTCCTAGTGCATTGTGGGAGATGGTCGACTCATTCGCAGCGCGGGACATTTGAAATTGTTAGTTTTGTTCCGGTCTGTAGTTTCGTAAGCGTATGATTCAAGTATAAATTTGCCTTTTTCAGTTTCTTTGTATCAATATGGTGTTTTTAATAAGGCGGCAGAACGCTATACCCAAATGTAAAGCCAATTAGCTAAAGTTGTTTAATGACACTCATAATGGGCCTTGTTTTGTCGACCGTAATTTGAAAAACTGACTCTCCATGGCAAACTCTTGGTGGCGCACTGCATTGTGAATCGCCCAAATTTTATGATTTCGGTCATTTCCGCCCCCCCCCCCCACTCGCCGGCACAGATTTACGTCATTGTGAATATCATTGCGTATCATTGCACTCGCGTGGCCACCACCTGATGACGTTAATGTGACATTGCCATAATGGCACCATTCCCTAGACATTAGCGTAAGTACAAGAAAAGATTAATTTTTCCAAGGATGAATTTTAGCTAAGGAATCTGAATTAGAATCAGACAAACAATATTCCCTCGTAAATATTTGTAAACGGTTTGATATAAATACACTGTACTCATGGGCGTCGCCAGGATTTTTTCTAGAGGGGGGCAAAAAAAACTTTTGCCAAAAATGGCATGTATTTCTCAACACATTCTCGATTTATCAGTTTAGAGTGGGGCAGGGACATTTTGCCCCCCCCCCCAACTTTTTTTTTTTTTTTTGCTTTTCCAGGGGGGGGGGGGCCAAGTGCCCCCCTTGCCCCCCCCCCCCCCCCCCCCCCCTCGCGACGCCCATGACTGTACTGAGGTAGGGGAAACTTGCTAGAATTTCTCACAATCAGCGCGATATGTCAGTGCCGGCCGAAAGACGCGTGACGCGAAACAATTGATGAGAAAGAATAAGGACGAGCTTGGTAAGGTTAATTGCTCGTAGTGACTCTGAATAGTCAACTGCTCGGTACATAACAATGATTGTAGAAAAGAGTTACGTAACATCATTCATGTGTATAGTGCGATGCTGATGCATCTTTCGTGCAGCATCTTTCTTTGGCGCAAAAAAGCGAATGCGCCAATTACGGGGGGGGGGGGGGGTTCGTGATAGAGAGCCGATTCCAGGCGCGGATCCAGAGGGGGGTTTGGGGGTCAAAACCCCCCTCAGCTCTGTCAATTTTTTTGTTTGTCATAGAAATTCCTGAACCCCGCCCCCCCCCCCCCCCCCCCACTCCCTGCTCCGACACCCCAAATAATTTTGCTTGTAATAATGCCTGCCTTGCGTACAGAGCCAGCTTGTTAGGGGGTATATGTACATTATTATAGTGTTAATAATCGTCAGATTTGAAACACTCCCCCCCCCCCACCCGCTTTTTGATGTTACATTGGACGTAGGAAGAACTTCTTCACCCAAAGAGTGACAAACATCTGGAATTCCCTTCCACAAGCAGTAGTAGATGCCAAAACTGTAGGAACATTCAAGAATAGACTGGATTCTCACTGGAAGGAGGAAAAGATAGGATACGGGGTCACAAAGGCTATGCCTAATTAAATTACCCATTACCGTAAGTAGTAAGTAGAAATAGTAGCTGTAAAGTGCTTCATCTGTTAGGCTTTATTCAAGGCACCAAAATATGTATATTTTGTTCACAAGTCTCCAACGTATTTGTGACACACATCACATTAAAGTTTACTTCATAAGTTCATTTTCTGTTCAAATTTCAGGCGGTAATCATGCATCCGAAGATATTTGGGAGAAAATGTCCATCCAACGATGATCACCGGCTCTAAAAGTAGTCCAAAAGCCCATCGCCATTTTGAAAAATGATGCCTGTGCGCTTCGTGGCAAAATGGAGCGATCTTAGGGCCCAGTTTCACCCACATTCCACATAAACATAATTAAGCTACAGTGCGTCTTGTCTATCTTACCAACCCTCTAAATTGGACTGTCTGTTGGCTGTGCAGCGAATCACCGTAGCAGGCGCCTTATAATACACACGCGCGCCAACAAACAGGCCAACAGGCCGCAAAGGTTCGTCAACTATATCCAAGCGGCTCTTCTATCCTACAATCAGCAGCTATAAGCCAATGCATGTACATGTATTCCGACTTGCAAGCTAAGAAACTAGCATAGGGCCTAAGAGATATCAAAGTAGGTAACATCATAGTAAGTTGCATATTTTCATCTTTTGTCCAAAGTGTCTTGATCAAGAGAAGCTCATCAACATGTGTATAATCGTTCCATGTTTTTTTTTTCTACAAGAAAATGTATTAAAGGGGGCATCAAAATTCAATCTATCTGGAATATGGTTTCAGTGTATTGTTAAATGTTACGGCATGCATCTGCTGGCATCTTGCAGAGGCACGGCAGGGAAAACTAGTGTTACATGTGTATTACGTTTAAATCAATCTATCCAATTGGATTATTGTCGGTAACATGTCACTAGACTGCGAGAACGACCCGCAACCTGATGGACTTGTACTCCCGCGCAGTGGCCGGCTGTCCTTCAAGTTGGCGCCAGGCCTCGGTGTTGATCAAATGACTCCGTAGTGCAATTCTACGTCGACTGTTGGGTAAAATGGTGATTTCTGCTAAACATTTGCTGAATTGAAACCGGGAATGACTTATTGCTTAATTAAACGATGCATGAAGGCTTCAAGCTGAAGAGAGAAAATGTCTTTGACCTCAAGGCTTTGAGCTCACTGATGGCTCCTAGACATGTCTTGAAATAGATCAAAAATTATTAATTTGAATTTTGATTTTTGTTAAAACCATCGATACGCCGTCCCGTCACTCCGGGTGAATGCAGGCCTACCCTCCCGAAATCACTCCGGATTGTTCTCGGCCCGAGCCAAACCCACGTTCCTACATCGCCCGACATTCTTGGTCGTTCTGTTATCTGTTATTTCATTACCTTCTCGGTAATGGTCATACATGTATGTTTAAACCAGGATACATTATTCTCGGTAATAATATCGTTTTAATCCGAATACCAGTCATTAACATTATTAATTTGGATCATGGTGGCCTGATTGATATGTTTGTTTTCACGGAGCAGCATGTGGTTCGGTGAAATAGTGCCTGGTACAACATTCCCGGAAATGTTCCACTTTTAACCACGTTTAAGAGAATTGTCATCATCACTTTGTGAAGGCATGTACCGGAATACACACCGGGCCTGTACCAGGCATGGGACGGCACCGGGAATATTAGAGCTCCCCCCCCCCCCCAAAAAAATAGAATTCCAAAATTAAAAATTCGATAAGCTGTCAAACCAGCTGTTGGGAAAACATATGGCTACAATCTAAGAATGAACATTCATTTAGCGTCTTTTAATAAAGTTCAGCGCCATATGGAACTGAACTTTCGGCATATGTTAATTCTGACCACGTGAAAATTTAATAACCAAGTTGGCTCTGCGCAATTGAAGTGCGCATTCATTTATCCTCTGAAGTAAACTCCCAAAAAGTAGAAACTACTGCTGGCAAACATAATTATTTTCATGGTTGATTACTTAAGTGCCTATACTACAAGTTCTAGGGAATATCTGGTATTTTGTTATGTGCGCCACGACTAAACCGTTGGGCCGATTTATGTGTGCATGTTTAAGTAAATTATTTTTAGCTCATACAGCTAATATGACGTTTGGGCTATTTTCCAATGACACTGATTTTTGTTTTAAAGTTATATCAGCTTTATATATGACACTTGGCATATGGATTTACTGTGAGTGAATTATTTCCAGGCCAGTACGTGGAGGTATAACTAAAACCCTCCCCTTCTTTAATATTGGTTGGAGCACTGCCAGCATTATAATTGGTCCTATAATCCAAGGGGTTTGCTTCCCCCTTCGCAAAGGGTGGTGGGCGTAGGGGGGGGGGGGTGTTCAAATCGTTAGTTCTTTCCGTTCCCCCAAGAGAATCGTTTGGTTAATAGCTGCATGTTTGGGACTCGTTCGTTCACAATAATAACCGGAATATGATTGTTACAAAAAGGGTAATTGGACCGGCAACAATATATCCATGGACGTGTATGGATGGACCAGAGGCGGACGACTTCACTCAATTTTGAAAGGACACCTTCGAGGCAAGGTGGGCTGGGAGGGGATATAAAGCAAAATCAAAGAGATGGGGGCAAGCTTGCAAGGGGGACTTTAGTAGTCAAACAGCTTTACGAACACCACAATATAACAAATATTCGGCTATACCCAACATCCCCTTTGCTCAAAAATTAAATTCTATTATAATTGGGCACAATCACTCTAAAGCCCATTTCGTACTCGGCGTGAAAGCGAAAGCGAACGCGAATTTGTGACGTCATGGCAAGTATTCGCGTTGCGAATTCGTAAAAGTTAAACATATTTCAAATCGGGCGAATTTCGCAGCGAATGTTTCATGACGTCAAATTCACTTTGCATTCGCTTTTGTATGAAGTATCAACCGGGCTTAACAAACAACTACGACGAACGTTTCTTATGGACCTCATCGTGTCCGTTACGTACAGTAGCGTTCTACTGAGGGTTCGGAATTTGAAGTCATCACAGTACATAGCATGCGGTTCTGTCGAAATTTGGCAATAAATTTGGACCATTCCCAAAAGGTTCAGCATATCACATTGCTATCCCGTTGCGAAGGAACAGCTGTCAAAATAAAATAAAAGGGGAAAGGGGACGGTCCCAACGACGTGAAATACGTGACTCAAGCTAAGAGTCTGGAGGAAAAATACGTTGTGTAAAACTAAATCCTTTTGATCAACTAATTTCACGCTAAAGCTTAAGAAGTTGCACGGTACAGTGAAGGGAGTTGGGGGATGGGGGACCGGAGGGGGGAAATGTTGAGAGACTAACGAAATAGCCCTTGTGCTAGTGGCTAATGTGCAGGTGGTGTGCGCGTTTTAATATCAGTTGCATAATATTCGGGCTCACGCTCTTTCACATATGCACAACAACGCCATATACCTGCTGTGGCAGGGTCCATGGTGTTTTGTACACACGAGGGGGCAAATGGCACCAGAGGTGAAGCCGAGGGTGCCATTTGCCCCCGAGGGTGCACAAAACCCATGGACCCCGTCACAGCAGGCAACAATTGTTTTGTCATACCACGGTATAGATTACTAACTTCTGGAACTGTGGGTCTCTTCCTGTTGCGATACAGAAAGTTTTGGCGACGTTTTCGCACAGAATTTTCCGTATTTTTCTTCGTGCTTATGCTGTCCTATTCAAAAATCAAACTTCTGATCTCATCTTTGGATCAAAAGAGAAACGTCTTCGGAGGCGACCTGTTGTCATCTGCCGACATTATTGATATGTTTGTGTCGACCCTCTCCCAGGGTCCTGTACATGACTGTGACTGCATGATATACATGTAGGCCTACATGCAAAATACGCGGCAAGCTTCCATCTGCTTTTTTTTCACCGCTCTGGTTGCGTATTGTGCGTCACATGGCCCCATATAATATGATGATTTCTGTAGAGTATACATTTTGGGAAGCAAACAACCTAACGTCCTGTTCCCAAGTCCTTTGAAATAAAGTTAATGGGCCTAAACAGTCTTTTAAAAAAAATGGCAATCCGGGACGAATGTGCACCTTGACCTCCTTCTCTGATTCGCCTCACTCATCACATCCGTATTAATAGCAAAACATGATCCATTTCTTGAATATTCGGTTGGAAGATCCGGGTTCATAAAAATAAGATCCAGAAACTTGACTACACTTCAACTTAGTTCCGATCACTTGACAAACACATGTCTATGTTTTTTTGGCGGGGGGGGGGATGTCAACCCCAAAGTCAAACTTCTCGGCTAATGTAGGCCTAAGGTGTTGGGCTTACATGCAAGTGAATTGGTTGCTTACAGGCCAACGAAGGATTGTTGTGCACAAAGGTCGTATTACTTACATCAGGGCCCAATTTCATGGCGCTGCTGAGCACACGATTTTCTGCTAAGAGCCTCTGTCTATTTTATGGAGACCGTAAGTATACTAGCACAGCAGAAGGCCCGCTTACTTCAGAGGAAAAATTTGCTTAACGTAACACTAGAAAACTCTATGCACGCGCGACCGTTAGCACATCCACGCCGTGAAATAGTGTTTAAGGTTAGTAATTTTTTCTGCTATGCTAAGCACAACTTTTCAGCTAACTTTCAGGCAGCGCAGTGAAGTTGGGCAAAGAAGAGTTATAGCGGCTGTAGCAGCACCGCTATCAATGAGATCAATCAAATCCAGTCTTGGGAACTTTGGCAGTGCTACCCAGGAAATTCCAAGCATACTGTATTCAAGCTAATGCATGCGTATGAGTTTGATCACGCACATGCAATTTCCCGGATATAGCACTGCCAAAGTTTTATTGATAACGACTGTTATAGCTGTTATAGGCATACATGTATAATTATAACTGATTGTAAAGGGTGGTTGTCTTTAGGAGAGAGAAAAAAATGAGGCTTTGGAACTTAAGCTGCGTGGTAACTTCAGCCACGAGTTACAACTCATGCGACTGAAGTTACCGCGCAAAGTGTTCACTGAGTTGAAATTGGAGGATGGTTTTCAATGAATGAATAAATGAAGATGTAAAACTTGAAGGTTATGATTTGTATATGTTGGCCTATATTAGAAATCACACTTTACTCATCTACCTATAGATGCATGTAAAAAAAACAATCCACTTCAGTAGTGCCACATGTGCCTTTTTCATATTGTGTTTCTTTTCTATATAATTATTGTATGTATTTTGTATCAATTTATACATGTTTCAGCAACTTCTGTATATTTCACAGTAATGCATGTTAGCCATTTTCGTAGCCTCATCAAGTTATAAATATGTTGCTCTTTAATGCTTAAGCGAAAAATAGGGCATGCGCGTAAAAAGTACTTAAACTAATTGGAAAACATTCCATTGATACTGTTAGCACTGCTCAGCATTTATTGAACACCCTCTGTACTTTGCTCTGTTTTTAGTCTCAAAACATTGTTTTGTAAGTAATAATTGTCTATGTAATATATATGAGCTATACCACCAAATCAAAAAAGATGAAGTGCTATATAATCAATATATTTTCAGTATACATTAACAAGACTAACACAGAATTTATGAGGTTTTTTTTAATTCACAATCAAATTTAGTGCTATGAGTTGTCTTGGCAGCAGGAACATTTAAATCAAATTCGTATCTAGATCAAATCAAAATGTATTCCTCATGCACTATTACGTTTCTTTCTGCTGTGGGGATTGCATTTTTTTAAAAGAAACGTTTGCAGGCGTTTGCCGCCTTGGTGTTTTAATTACAATATTCACCCCTTTAGAAAACTGGTGATACTGCCAAGAATACTGATTACAATAATTAAAGCTTACGGATGTTATATTATTTTAAAAATCTGGTTACAATATAAGTATACTATATAATAGCCTATTGTGCAAACATTCTTTTGTGTACGTTTTGATACAAGCAGGTCTGCTGGTGCCGACGTTTTGAAAATTGGAATAAAACTCACGCAATATTAAAGTGTCTTACTCTTGTGAAAACTGTGAACACTGTTTACGGGGGGGGGGGCTCTCCAAGCGACTTTGCCAATACATGTCTCTTGTAGGACCAATAAGTATACGATTTGTTGAAGGTCAAAGATATTACATATTTAATAACTTGATTCTTTTTAATGCAGGCCTTTATACAGAGTATTTTTTTGTATAAGTGCAAGCACTTTTTTTATTTCACATTTATAGTACTCACAAGTAAACAAATTACAAAAAAAACTACAAAGACAAAGAAAGCGGGACAATACCAAGCTACAATATTAAACCGTAAACCTCCATTTTGTGGTAAATTTATACATTGTATTTAAATTAGAAGCAATTTTTTTTTTCTAGTATGGTGATTGTATTTCACCAGATAAATAAGGGAATTGAAATTTGGTATTTATTTCTTAAATCTACCTTTAAAGATAATCTTCTTAGTCAACAAAATGCACAGATTTAATAATAAGTCTGATTGTCGGGAGTTGTGCCAAAAATGAATGGATTTATAACTTAAATTAACATCTTCGTTTGACAGGCCTTTCCACCAGGCTTCAAACTCAGTCCAAATGGGCTGTATAAATTCACAATCAAAAAACAGGTGTTTCATTGTCTCTGGAAATTTTGAGCAAAACGAGCAAGCGTCACTATTGATAATTTCCATTTTATGTAGTCTAACATTAGTCATTAAACAATCCATATTAATTTTGTATTGAAGAATTCTCGTACTGACTTCTTTACTGCAAAGATAAGGCAGGGAATAAATATTTTTCCTTTCATCTTTCATAACATCAAACTCCAGGTTAAATTTGGTTTGAGCAGTTGGGGGTACAAATATCCTGGAATTAAAGATCTTACAAATTTGTTTTGTGGAAAGACTTGCCCTATTGACGGTGGGGTTTGTTCCATTAGCTAGCTCAGAGAAACCTTGAGCAGTGCATATCTCCCTGTTAAAACCTCTCGTCAGAGTTTGTTTCCACGTCCGAGGGACAGCTGAAATAAGTCCTCTCCATTTCAGAAAAAAAAGTTTTTTGAGACCCCTCTGTCTACCCATGTATCAAATGGAACAATCAATTTTATACAGAGTACTACTATCACTATATTATGCATTATATTCAGTATTACATACTGCGGCAAGCTATAACTTTGTTCATTATGCATGGCAAGCTATAGGCCTACATTTATACATGCGTTGCTTATATATTTTTGTTTTTCTTATCAAACCGTCTTTAATATCGAGCAAAGTTATAGCTATGCAGTTTTCAAAAGCCAATTCACATGAAAGATACAAAAGCAATTGGAAATTATTAAGAAATGAACTTGCAGTGTAAATAAATCTGAGGCTCTCGAAAGTATTTTAAGTCGTTTTTGTCACTGTATCTGATCCGAAGAGTCAGGAAGGTTAATAATAGAGTACACAAAAATCCAGTGTATACGGATGCGATCCAAATAGTTGTTAAAACATGATCATCACTGCAATTACATTTATTCAAAATGCGGTGACTATCTATGGTTCGAAGGAGCGCTTAGAAAGCGTTCATCACTCGAAACCATCATGCAGTCACTCATCCAGTTTTCGATGTGGGTGTACCGGTTTAAATTGCTGTTTCGCAAGTTTGTAAACAAGACCAATTTTATTAAACCGAAATCGTCAGCTATGACTGTCGTTATATGATTGCATGTTTCCGTGGGACACACTAAGACCAAGTGAATTGTTGGTTATTGTCTTTGCAGTGAACGTCATTGTCAGTGAATTCTCCTGGTGACAGGATAACAGGTTAGTTATTGTTTTACCATCGGGGAATAGCGGTCGTTTTCCCCTTTACTCCTCTCTGATATAAAATGAGGGCATCTTGCAAAGGTATGGTAAGGCCACTTCGCAACGGTAATCATTCCATCCAACATGCTCGGTGGTTCTATAGAAAGAGCCGCAGTCCTCGCCTCGTCCACCATAGTTGTTTGGTTCGTTAGTACGCCACCCGGTGTAATCAACGCCCGTCCCGTCACTCCAGGTGAAGCTTCCTTCGTTCGCATGGTCGTTGTGCCCAATCCAGACGCAATCTCCCACACGGTTCTCGTTTGGTACCAGAGAGCTACTCCACATCTGTATCAAGAAGTCGTTCTCCTCGGAGTTGTGGATGGACGCCAGGTGCCCCTGACCATTTCGAGTGAAGAACTCTTGGCAGTGCTCCTCTGCCGATTGCCAGGTCTTGGGAGGACCGAAGAAACGGTAGCAGTGGTTACCGTAGCCTGTCCAGAACGGTGGACAGTCATCCGCGGATACTAAACCGAGGACCAGAAAGAACATCACACACGAAATCTTACTGAAAACCATGATGACGATCTTCAAGTCAGTTTTGTTGTGTTCACAGGCCAAGTTGCGATGGATGAATGATCTGGAGACGGACACGAGATGTACCTCTTTTTATTCACAAAATTCTTGGCCGCTATTTTGCATCTCATTACTTTCTGGGCAACAGTTATGTTTAAACCCGGATACCAGACAATATTATTCTCGGAGTTTGTTTTCTAAGACCGGACATGTAGCTCAACCATTACAATTTGGATCATGCCCAGATTGATGGCATCATCTACGTATTGCTTTCACAGAACAGCATGTGCTTTTGTAAAACAATCGACGTTTGTGCCTGGCACCACATTTCCTAAAGGCTCCACATGTACGTTTATAGATAACAAGCACATAATTTTGTCCAGCTTTTCTCGGAGAACGATAAAACGCTTGATTGGGCATTCGAAACATGCATAATATAATGCACTTTTGTTTTGTCCGAATCGCCGTCGTCCGGGGAGCTCATGGCGTCCGCCATCTTGCTGTCTAGCAGTGCCTACGGGTGCACACCGGTAAATCGATCCGCCAAGCTCATGAATAAAAGTTATACCCTCAAAATATTCTATATTAGAGAGTTCTGAGCGCCGTAAAATTGGGGAATTGAAGAGATATGGTAATGAACCTCTGGTTCATTTTGGATGCTATTGGGCTCAAAAGTGGCGCTGTTTTGCCATGTTGTGGAGGGATCGTTTTTCAAGATGGCTACTTTTCCGCTTTGGGGAAAATAGGGGTCGTCTTCTTTGCGTGAAAATATCTCGAAAAGTCAATGGTCAACCCACCAAAAATTGAAAAGAAAATGAAAGATGACACATTGATCATCATTTTTCTGTGCAGCTTGAATACCTGTGAGAGTTTTGAGTATTTTTAAAAGAATTTTGAAGTATGGGCATTTAGCACTAGTGTCTATGGGAGTTTATTTGCAGGTATGCACCCCTACGCGCATGAGCGCGCTCTTGTTTACAGCGCCCGCTATTGGTCCATTCACCGTACCACGACAGAAGGGCCTCACTGATTGGTCGTTGGAAAATAATGACGTAATTCTTCACTCGGCATTTTTTTTTGCGGAGAAAACCTGAACTTTAAATCCCGATTTTAGCACCGATTTGGGCCACCGAATAACGGTGTTTTTTTATATTTGAGTTTCCCAACATCTTCCTGAGTAGTTTAAAGTACAATTTAGTTAGATTTGTGATATGCGTCAACAAACTGCAAGATAATCGGCCATAGAGGGCGCTAGCAACAAGATGAACCAAATCAAAATTGGGAAGTTTGACACAGACATTGTAATTTATTTAAACCGTCACTAGTCGAGCGGTAAAAACTGTTGAAAACCTTCAACCCTATTAAGTACGAAGTTGCATGCCTTGTAAATTAGCAAGATCAGTTGAAATGTCACATGCTCAGACTATTCGTGAGGAGCTAATTGAATGGAATATATGAGGGGCTTTTCTAGTAACAGTTTGTGAAGGCAAGCCACTGGCGACTAATAGGACCAACTTTCCCATCACCAATTCCAGATAAACACCACACAAAATCACAACCTTTTATCCACGATTGTCTCCAAAGCAAATACATGTCTTGTATCTTCCCAGCACTGCCTCGTACCCAATTTATCCCGTTTGCCCGCTACCTACCACCTGTCATGACTGTCTCAACAATTTCGACTTCAAATTCTTGTAGTACAATTGCCAAACACAGATCGTTTGGTACTAGTTACATTATATTCACAATCTTCATATACGTCATATACCTTGATCCACAATTCGGTAGGCATTCTTGATTTAAGTATCTTTAACGTATGCCGATGTTGTCTGAGATTTTGCGAAATCCACACTTAATTAGCAGCTGGCAATTTGGTATATAACTTGTAGTAATTACTTTTCACTACATAAGATACACTTCGCATGTTATTTATTAAAATTAATTACTCTAACTATCCAAGCGGCTTTTCTATACTACAAAAGCATTTAAAAATATTATAAAGTGGCTTTCCAACGTCAGTTCTAAAGTCGCACAGAGTAAAGTTGTATTTCATCTTTTGTCCAAAGTGTCAAGATCAAAAGAAGTCCATCAGGACAAGAGGATTAAGCAAGCTAAAAATTCGTGTAATAGTTCCAAATTCATCTCTTGTGTCAACGAAAATTAATATTTATCATAGGTGGGCATCGAAATTGCTTCTACCCTCCAAAAAGTGATTCGTTTAACCGTGAAGCGTTTAATCTGAAGTCTCATTACTGCTTTATTATATAACACAACGTATATGCCAGGGTTTCTCACGCAACCAGCCTCAACTGTAGCAGTAAGTGTATTCTACTTCCGTTCCAGGTTTACGGCATGCATCACATCACACTGAAGAAATTCGAAATCCCCATCAAGTGTTCTGCCGCAGCGCATCCAAAATGGTAGGTGCGCCAGTTTGACAACGTTGAGCTTGAAGTTTTGGTGCCTTATGTTTGAGGAATATTGAAAAGGGACAATTAATGGGACTGTCAGAAGAGTTGGAAGTTGTCACTTCAAAGTTATCTTCCCCTTTCATTTTTAATTAGCGGTCATCTTGCAGATGTATGGTTCAGCGCTGTTACAGGTGTAATCATTCCATACAACCTGATCCAGAAGGGGTCGATTCAAAAAGTCTCCGCAGTCCTCACCGGATCCGGCGTTGTCAGCCGGTTTTGCAGAACTCCAGCCGCTGTAGTCAAATCCGGTCCCGTCACTCCAGGTGAATCTCCCTTCCCTCACCAGGTCGTTGTGGCCGATCCAGGCATGGTTTGCTAACGTATATTCGTCGTTAGGCACCAAAGATGTTCTCCACAGCTGTATCAAGAAGTCGTTCTCCCCGGCGCTGTGGATGGACGCCAGGTGCCCCTGGCCGTTACGGGTGAAGAACTCTCGGCAGTGCTCCTCGGCCGATTGCCAGGTCTTGGGAGGGCCGAAGAAACGGTAGCAGTAGTTACCGTAGCCTGTCCAGAACGGTGGACAGTCATCCGCAGATACTAAACCGAGGACCAGAAAGAACATTACACACGAAATCCTACTGAAAGCCATGATGACGATCTTCAAGTCAGTTTTGTTGTGTTCACAGGCCAAATTGCAATGGATGAATGATCTGGAGACACGAGATGTACCTCTTTTTATTTGCAAAATTCTTGGCCGCTATTTTGCATCTCAATATACTTTCTGGGTAACAGTTATGATTAAACCCAGATACCAGACAATATTATTCTCGGTTATAATTGAGTTTTATTTCTGAGACCGGACATGTAGCTCAGCCATTAAAATTTGGGTCATGTCCAGATTGACGGTAGTATCTACGTATTGCTTTCCTAGAACAACAGGTAGTTTTGGGAAACAGTCGACGTTTGTGCCTGACACAACATTTCCCAAAGGTTCCACTTGTACCTTTAAAGATAATCATCATTTCTATGAAGGCCGGAAGAACAGGGCCCTACCAGACACGGGCTGGCACGTGCCTCCCACATTTTAGCATTTTAGACCCAGCTTTTAAACATTTCGGAAAAATGTGGAGTATACAAACTAACAACGGCCATTAATCCACCTTACTATTTGCTTATGCTTAATCCAAATCTCACAAGAAGTCAACTTATGACAAGTCCAAATATCCCAATTTATAGTTGGTTGGACGCGAGTATTAATAGTGCGCAGTCGATTACCCTCTAGATATACGCCCTCAAACAACACCTCAGACAAGTTGGCCTATTTTGAGTGCAGACAATTTAATTCAAGTTCACTTGGGTAACCTACCATAAACCACGATGATTTTAAAGTCGGGTTTGCTGTGTAGAGATCTCGAGTCACGTCTCAAGAAATACCGAGGTGCATACCGAGGTGCATGTCTTTTTTCCTTTTGCTTTTCCAGTAGGCAGGGGGGGGAGGGTGCAAGTGCCCCCCCCCCCAGTTATTTATATTTTGTTGTTTTCAGTGTGTTGGTCACAATAAGCATACACTTGGTGTCAAAATCTTAACAAGACATCGGCCGAAACAAGGGGACCATGATGATTTCGTTTTCTGTCCATACCATTTTATGTCTTCATAATTTCCCTTCCAAACGCCTCCCTTCAAATTGACAGCACGAAAGTCCTGAAGTTTCGATCGGATTTTGATTTATAGTTTGTTTTTCTTGTAGGTATTCAGTTTCAGTCTCGTATTTTCAAGCCACCGCACGCATTAAAGGTATACATATATGAGATCATTTGCTTGCAGTGTATTTTTTTTTGTCGTTGTGGCCCAGTAATGGATTGGTATTGGATTATGTCCGGTATAATGTTTTGGCCCAGAATCGGTCCAGTATATAGAACAGCAGATACCGGTAGGTGATGGGACTGTTCCGTTGATGATACAAGCATGACATTTGGCACACAGTCAGAATATGTCATGAGAAAGATATTGGGATAGGGGGTCATCGCAGATTTGTCCTTTGAAAAAAAAATAAGTAAAAAAGCAAAGGCAGCCATTTTGAAATTTTTTTAAATTAATTGCTTGTTATTCTATACAAGGACACATCTGCCATGGTCCTATCAGCCGTGTGGTCGCGGAGGCCGATTTCTAGAGGTTACGTTATACTTTATTTTGAATGAAACAACATGCACACAGACATGTGGATGTTCGCGGTCGAAATCTTTGAAAATCAATTTCTCCCATTTGGAAGACCGTATCTTCATGCAGCTTTCAGGGTTTGTTTCCCTTATAATGATCCAACTATATGTGCTAAAAAATCGTTTTGATATGTCAGTACTTTTCGTTGAAATTGGAAAAAATATACCTGGTTACGTGCATTTTTAAAAGTTGTAACACAAGTGTTTGCAATATCTGTCAATCTTTTTAAGCCTCACGAATTAGATTCCTTTCCATTATGGTATGCAGTAAACATTTGCAGTACCGCCTCCTTCACAAACTATTAATTAATAAATATCACTTTTTTTGCCGGCTACAATTGGTCGATACCGAGATCTACGCGAAGTCACGCCGAGTCACACTAATGAATACCTGGCAGCCAGCATTGGGCAAGTTCTGTTCGCACCGACAAAACGGTACCGGGCACGTTGTTGGATCATGATGGTCTGAATTACATATAATTTACTTTCGCAGAACAGCAGGTGGTTGTGTGAAACAGTCGACGTTTGTGCCTGGCGAAAAGAATGTTGCTGCAGTCTAAGAATTGACATTAGCATCTTAGTTGTGCAACATAATTAAGTTAAGGAGTGGAAGGGGCTAAATAATGTGCAACAGTTTCAACCCAAATTTTACAGGAAGTTAGCTTTTGGCAAATTCTAAATATCCCAGTTAAGAGAGGAACGCTGTGGTTCAACGTGAGTTTATTTTGACGTCCACGGTCAACTACCTCTAATTATACGCCCAAAACAAGAAAATACAGCTTCAAACATAGGTCGTTTGAGTAGAGACAACAATTGTTAATTTGTTGTAAAGAAATTACTGCATGTTCACTTGGGAATATCTGGAAGTTGTTCATGTGCGCGACGACTGGAAACCATCGGCCCGATTTTGAGTATGTTCCATTTCCCGACACCACTCTTTTTTCTTTTACTTTCAGACTAAATTCCATGACGCTGAAATGTATTTTCCACAGGTATATGAAAGTAATAGAGCAAATACCTAATAGATTATGAGCTTAACACGGAGAAGTTCGGCAATGATACATGTTACGCGGGATAGTTGGGGGAAATGTCGCCACTGTTTCTCGGACATAACTGAAGGTGGGGGGGGGGGTCTAATAATTTTTGAGGGGGGTCTAATAATTTTATATACGCGTACGGGAGACGCGGCTCCGAAAAAAAGCTGCTTGTTATTTTCTTTTAAATTAAATACCATTGCCTTGATTATTTTATCTGACACACCATGGATAATTTCAAAATAATGTCAAGATGTATAACGGTGGGTTTTGTAAAATAACCACACACTTTATAGTGATATAACGAGCTTGTTTTTCCGACCCCCGGTGATAACAATCTTGAAACTGAGGTTAAAGTTGAACCTTTCGGGAGTAGTGCCAGGCACAAACGTCGACCGTCTCGCAAGCAGCTGAAGTCAGAAAAGTTTGATCCTGATTGATGGTCTTGTTTACATGACATTGTTGACTTTCACAAAACAGTAAGCGGTTCTGTGAAACGGTGTCCGTTAGTGCTTGGCACTAAACTCAGTCCCAAGTATCAGCTGCCAATTGCTGCGTTGGTCTGCACGTAGGACCCGGCAACGTACTACCGATTTCACGAGAAAACGTATAAATAGTGACTGGCCTGGTGGCCTGTGAAATTATTCCGCTTGAAATTGTATCATTGGGGAAAAAATACTCTTTGAGAAAGTTAACTCGAGGGCAAATTGTTTTACATGCATTAGTAAATTCAGTTGGAAAACTTTAAAAAAATATGCATACGTTTCCTGTTTTCAAAAAATGGTGCCTATATCCACTGAGTTGAACCTTTAACAAGGTGGTTATATTATGCGCCCTTCTGATGATTTTGATCAATTTTCTTACTCCAGACGAAAGAAAAAATGCCCCCAAAGCAAATGATCTTTACATACCTTTAACGATACGAGCGGCTTGAAGTATGTGGATCAAACTCAATATTATACCTACAAGAAAAAACAATTCATGCAAAATTCTGTCGAAACGTCAGGACTTGAAATACTGTCAGATTATATGTACTTTTTAATTATTTTCGTTTTGGTAGGTACTGTAGCGAAACCAAGGATTCCTCAAAAGTGCACTTTAAGCACTGTAGCTTGAAAGCCTGAATTCTAGAAACCTACAAAGAGAAGACGATAAGAAGATATTACAGTTTTAGAAGTGGGAGGAAAACCCCCAACAAAATATTCTGGGGAACCGACGGAATCAAGTAGAGACTGAAAAAAAGGAATCGAGCCCAGGCCATAGCGGTGGAAGGCGATGAAACTACTCTATGTGTGCACCAACCTCATGACTCCCCGACCTGAAGGGAGCCTTCGGGGGGGGGGGGGGGTGTTGAGGGTAGGAAGAGGGAAGGGGAGGGTAAGAGAGAAAACGAACCCATCGTATAGTACCCTTGTTTTTGGCTGTTTTGTTAACGTTTTGACAGCAAGTGTATGTAATCCTGATCTATTCACTGACGTGCAGTCTTAATTGTTTCTAGCTAGAGTTTCATGAGAAATTTAATGGGAGTCAGGTTAGCGCAGCAGTTCGTTCCTTGCCTTCGCTTCATCTTTCATGTGCCAGTTTTTTCCAGCCCTGGTCCACATGCCCGATCCGAATGGGTTTTCAGTCCCTACCTGATTCCATGGGATTCAGGGGCGGCTTCAGGAATTTTTGCAGGCGGGGGGGGGGGGGGGGGGGGGGAGGGAGGGGTTCATCAGCAAATCAATGCTGAAATGTGGACAGGTTTTTTTGTCCGGACACTTGGCTCCGTAAAATCAATAGGTAGGGGGGAGGGGTGTGGGGGGAGGAGGAGGGGGTGTGGGGGGAGGGGGGGGGGGGAGGGTCGTACCATACCGTTATGTGGGCGCTGTTCAAATTCGACGATTATTAACACTATATAACAGGATAGTGTCAAAAATACTACCGTAACCAAGCACGTTCTGTCCGTATTTTTTGTGCACAGGCGTATATTAATACCAGTATAATTGTTTTTGGGTTTCACAACACAGCAAGGGAGGGGGGCAACATTTTTTTTAATGAATTGATATGGGCAAAAAACACATTTTTTTTACAGAGCTGTTTTTTTTTGTATAACCCCCCCCCCCGATCCGCGCCTGGGATTTCACTAGAATATTTGATGTTTTTCCTCTCATCTCTACAACTGTAATTTATTCTCACTGTCTCCTCTGCAGGTTTCTTCTCTTTATGTCATGTAATAGACTGATAGGACAAACATGTGCAGTAGAGTGATCAAGACCAATATAGTTCTGTAGATATAGGCCTTAGAAAACTGCACCTTTAATGTGACGTCACATATCTTATGATGTCCTTATCGTGACGCTACTTCAATGTTCATCTATAACACATCCTGTCTTAGGTACAAACAAACTTTCAACCCAATGTGCATGTTATGCACAGGGCTATTAAAGAAAAAAGAACAAGATACACACAGTTTGGGTAGTGCAAAATCTTAACATTATAACATTTAATTAGTCAATCATTTCTTTTTGAATAATGCATATACCACGCGTGCTTGTCACTATATTCACCATTGATTGATGACCATCTAATGGCTAGCGTTAATTTTGTTGAAGAGATGATTGTGTATACAGGCCCACCTTTGCAAACACCAATTCCAGATAAACACCACCAAAATCACAACCTCTTCACCACGACTGTCTCCAAAGCAAATACATGTCTTGTATCTTCCCAGCACTGCCTCGTTTCCCAATTTATACCGTTTGCCCGCTACCTACCACCTGTCATGATTGTCTCAACAATTTCGACTTTAATTTCTTAAAGTACAATTGCTAAACACAGAACGTTTGTTACTAGTTCCACTATATTCACAATTTTCATATACCTTGATCAATAATTCGGTAGGCATTCTTGATTAGAGGATCTTTAACGTAAGCCGATGTTTTCCGAGATTTGGGAAATACAAACCTTTAATAAGCAGCTGGATATTTGGTATATAACTTGAATTTATTAGTTTTCACTACATAAGATACAATTTGCATGTCATTAACATCAATTACGCTAGCTATCCAAGAGGCTCTTCTATACTACAAACAGCAGCTTTATGCCAATATAATTTCATTAAGCAGCGGTCACTTCTAATTCTTCATTCACCCCTAGCCTGTAAGTTCATAGGCCTTTTAAAAGATTATGAAGTGGGTTTCCAACATCAGTTCTAAACTCGCACAGAGTAAGTTGTGTTTCATCTTTTGTTCAAAGTGTCAAGATCAAAAGAAGCTCATCAGGACAACAAGATTTAGCGAGGTAAAAATTCGTGTTATATAATAGTTCCAATTCAAAGAAATGTTTCTCATAGGTGGTCGAAACTGCTTCAGCCCTCCAAAAAAGTCATTCGTTTAACCGTGAAGCGTTTTATCTGAAGTCTCGTGACTGTTTAACACAGTGTACATGTACATGTACAGTATATGCCAAGGTTTTTTTTTATAAACAACCAGCTTCAACTGTAGTCTGTAAGCAGTATGTATATCGTAGTTTATTCCAGGTTAACGGCATGCATCGTAGGCGAAATCCCCCTCAAGTGTTCTCGCCGCAGCGCATCCGAAATTAAGTGCGCCAGTTACAAACGTGGAACTTGAAGTTGTTCACAAGGTTTGTGTTCCTTGTCAAGTCCTGATAGTGAGGTAGCGTTCTGTCTTGACACGTGACTCATTTTGGTGCCTTGTGTTTGAGGAATATTTAAAAGGAACAATTTGTGACTGTCAAAAGAGTTGGAAGTGGTCCCTTCAAAGTTATCGCCCCTTTCTCGTTCTAATTAGCGGGCATCTTGCAAATATATGGTAAGGCTGTGCGACAGGTGTAATCATTCCATACAACCTGATCCAGATCGGGGAGATTCATAAAATCTCCGCAGTCCTCACCGGATTCGTAGTCGTCCGGTTGTGGAGAGCTCCAGGCGTTGTAGTAAAACCCGGACCCGTCACTCCAGGTGAAGCTTCCTTCGTTCGCCAGGTCGCTGAGGCCGTTCCAGGCATGGTTTGCTAACGTTTCATCTTCGTTGGGCACCAAAGATGTTCTCCAAAGCTGTATCAAGAAGTCGTTCTCCCCGGAGCTGTGAATGGACGCCAGGTGCCCCTGGCCGTTTTGGGTGAAGAACTCTCGGCAGTACTCCTCGGCCGATTGCCAGGTCTCGGGAGGGCCGAAGAAACGGTAGCAGTAGTTACCGTAGCGTGTCCAGAGCGGTGGACAGTCATCCGCGGATACTGAACCGAGGACCAGAAAGAACATCACGCACAAAATCTTGCAAGCCATGATGGTAATCTTTAAGTCAGTTTTGTTGTGTTCTCAGTTCAAGTTGCGGTGGATGAATGATCGGGAAACACGAAGCGTTCCTCTTTATATTCGTTTGCTACTCAATGTTCTAGGCCGCTATTGGCATCTATCATTACTCTCTCGGGTATGTTTGAACCTGGTAGAATACTGTAATATTTCAGACCATAGATCTGAGGGCGCTAGTCATATGCTTCCAGATAGTTCTCGAGTTCATGTTGTTACTTTGTTAGGCAATAATAAAAGAGTAGCCGAAGTTGGAGGTCATCCCGACTCTACTTGAATCCACCACCTATTATGAGGTGGCAGCGCGGTTTTTTGTTAATTTTCTTACCTCGCCATTGGCGGTACTGATTCATGTCATTAAAAAGGTGAGATCTTGACGCGAAAACGTGCCTTCATTTGTACGTAAATGGCTGAGTAATTACTGCATGTGTATGCATAGACTGTGTGCTACCTCTAGAACTATGGGGCTTGCTACACAAACCCCATTGATAGGCATATCAACGCGAACCATGTTGGATACTATATCCTTAATAAACAGTCAACGACCGAAAAAAATGAAGTTGAGTTTTGGATAATGGATTAATAGTGTTCATCATGGACTTTCCTCCGTTGATGCACTACAACGCCGACGCACTTGCAGAAAATGTGGTAGACAACACGAATTATGCCCCGCTCTGATGATTCAATGCGTGGCCGGCAAAACTAGCGTACTCCACGGGATACTCCTCGTCGCTCAAAATCGCAGTCACGGTCCAAATGCAAGTGACGACAACGCCGTTCTCAACGCGTCATGCACATATGATTGCAGACATGTGCCTCACCAAGTGGAGCCGTTGATGTTCCATTCAAACAACTGACGCTTGATAATGTCTTATCTTTCATTCGTCCAAACACACGTAATCGCGACGAAGCCTACACTATAATGTCCAACTGCAACTAGTAAAGAACGCCGTATCATCAATCTACACGCGAAGGAGGAGCCTATAGACAAACACCATTCTCGTTCGCATTTATCGTCGAATGTGCCCAAGTCATGGATTTCCACGCAAAGGACATCTTGCTAATTCTGGTGCTTTTCTCAAGGCATACAACGGCACAAAATTAAGCAGTACGGCACACTGACTCTCCCATGCAAATACCCCCCCCCCCCATCAGAATGGCACAATACCGTGTTTCATGTCTTCGAGACTGATGGTCCGGCTATCATTCGTCTTTGCACAGCTCTTCAGTTGAACATTGTCGCTCTGAACAGTACTGTACGGTTGAATCGCATGCTCAGTTCGACGGAAACATCAAGCCACAGCACCAATGCAGTTCGTTCAGTTGAGGAACTAATCTCCACGTACCAAGAACAGTTTTATGCACTTGGAGATTTTCCGGATATATCACATCGTGCTTCGCGAAGGTGCACAACCTGTCGTACATGCACAACGTAAAGTGCTCCATTCATCCCGCGATGAACTTAAGTCCGAGTTTGACAAGATGGAAGCACAGGGTGTGATCCGACGTGTGACTGAGCCCATCGATTGGGTTAGTAGCATCCCGATTTCGCGCAAAGCTTATTGACAGTTACGCGTTTGTTTGGATCCTAAAGCCCTTAACAAGGCACTCATACGATGGCATCATATGACACCAACTATAGAAGAGATCATGCACAAACTTGCCGGTGCAAAAATTTTCAGCAAAATGGACGCGAAGCACGGATACTGGTCTATCCACCTCGACGAGGACAGTTCACGTTTGACCACATTCAATAGCCTTCGGTCGCTATTGCTACAAGCGCATGCCGTTTGAATTTGGCCTGCAGTTAGGCAAGTCAGGATATTTTTGATCGGATTGATCAAATTTGATGACGTGATCGGAATCGCAGACGACAGTCTCATGACAAGAACCTTCGTAAGCTCATGACTGTTGCTGCTGCAAACAGTCTGAAGTTTAACAGTGGCAAGTGCGCGATAAAGGATAAGCAGATCACATTCTTCGGAATGGCCGATGCGCAGGGTGTTCACCCTGACCCAGCTAATTAAGTGCTTGCAATTAATACATGCCACCCCTCCCGACAAGACCCAGCTCCGTGAGTTCTCTGGAATGGTGACGTATTTAAGTCCATTCATCCAGCACTTATCAAGCCATACTGCAGATTTGCGCGAGCTACTCCGTAATGACTGTGAGTATGTGTGGATTCCAAGCCACCAACGGTGCTTCGAGAAAGTCTGATCTGCGACTCTGCTACTCTACGATATTTCGACCCCAACAAACCCACGACAAATCAGGTGGATGCATCGACAGGTGGTTTGGATGCAACCTTGATGCAAGAAGACGATCAATCACATATTAAAGGCACTCAGTAGGCTGAGACAAGATACGCGAACATTGACAATGTTGGCGGTTGTTTTCGGTTGTGAGTGCTACCATATGGTAAACATTTCACGATCGAGTCTGACCACAAACCGCTTCAGATGATTCATCAGAAACCTCTCACGTCTGCACCACCTCGTCTCCAGAGTATGCTCATGTGTCTTCAGCTGAAGACACATGAGCATACGCTGGAGTCGAGGTGGTGCAGACGTCATACAACTAATTCACTCTGCAATATCGGCCCGGCAAAGAGGCTCCAGTTGCTGACAGCTTGTCACGCTCTCCAACGACTGACGGTACACATTAGTCCGTTGGACATAAACCTTGTGCAATTCACTGCCGATCGCCTTGAGATGTCAAACGCGAGACTGAAGGAGATCCGATATTCCAGGAACTCAAACAGATCATCATATCCAGTTGGTCATGTCGGATTAAGGATCCCCCAGTTCCCCTTCGACCATATTGGTCTTTTCACGATGAGCTCGCAAAAAAACCTGCTGATGGCATGCTTATGAAAGGATGTCGTGTTGTCATTCCTACAGCCATGCATACACGCTGAACAAGCTGCATAAGGGTCATCAATGTGCAACCAAGACAAAGCTCAGAGCGAAAGACACTGTCTATTGGCTCAACATGAATCAGGACATAGATCATGGTGTGAGTCAATGCCCTACATGTCAGGAACATCAACGATCGCAAACCAAGGAGACACTACTTCCACACGAGCTGCTGACGCGACCATGGCTGATACTTGGAACTGACCTGTTCCACTTTGAGTGAAATGAGTACGTCATGAGAGCTGACTATTACTCTAAGTTTCCTCTGGTTCGCAGAATGCCTGCAAATTGCACAAGTAGTGCAGTGATTGATTCTTCTCAGCAAAAAGTGACAATGGTCCGCATTTTGCCTCTGCCGCATACAAAGCATTTGATGAGGAATGGGGAGTTACAAATGTGACGCCATTGCCTCATTTCCCACAGTCAAATGGGTTTGTCGAGAAAGAATGATACAAACCGTCAAGCGTACAATGACCAAAGCAAGGGCCAGTGGACAAAACGTCAGCATGGCTCTTATATGCCTTCGGACAACCCGAGTGGACAGCAAACGTCCAAGCTCTGCAGAACTGCTTTGCGTTTATAGAAAGGTTAGGAGCAACCTTTCCGTTGTGATTAAGAATACATCAGAACACAAGGACCAGACATACCAACGCCTACAAGACAGACAAGCACAACAGGAGGCCTACCATGACAGATCAGCACATGACCTCAAGCCACTTCAACCAGGTCAACTAGTTCGTGTACAGGATCCACGAACTGTGTTGTGGACACCAGCTAAGATAAAACAGCGTTGTGAAGAACCACGTGTGTATGTCATAGTGACGCCTAATGTGTACCTTTGCGTCCCGTTTAACTTTATTTTCAATATCAATATTGCCATTTTTAATGGTTTTTAATACATTTTGGAGTATTGAGGCGAATACGAATTTCCCTATTCATGAGCGAAACGGTGATTTCATCATCAGGGCAGACATTTTTGTGTAACAGCTGCCATATTAAGTGTCTTTTTGGGGATTTATTTTGTTTCAGTACATGGCACTGAGACAATGAGCAAACTCTTGTCAGGAAAATGTTGCCACAAATGTTACCATCAGGTGTACGTCATGACTTAGCTGGTTTTGTTGTAACCAATTAGAGCAAAATAAATTGTACACGTCTGAAGTTTTATAAACTGAACAGATTGAAGGACGGGTACTAGGGACGAGGTTATATCAGATCCCCCTCCCCTCCCCCCACTTTAACAGGTTTCGACTTCTGTGAACATCAATATCTGGCAAGTAATCATATTAAAGTTTTTGGATTAGAACCTAAACCCGGACCGTCCAACTGATCACGAATAAGATTGTCAAAATCAGATCATTTTGCTGATATAGACCTCATGCATGCGGCCATTTAGAGGGCATCTTTTGTTATTTAAATTCAGTGACAATAAATGCATAAACTGGTTCAGTCGTGCATATCCCAGCAAACCAAATGTGTAAGGTCTAGTTCACAGGACATCAGCTTCCTCTACAAAAACACCAAAAAACAAATGTTCAACTAGATTTATGTTTGTGGATAAACACAGGGCTGTTTCGGTAACTTTTTTTGACATATATGTGACATAGTATCAAGTATAAGTTCCATCCAGGAAGGATCTGTAGTTATGTATATATTAAATGGTGGCATATACATATGTGATTACATTCTCATAGGGCTTTGAATTTTGACGTCCCATGTCACGTGATAACGTCATGATGACGTCACATCAAAAAAAGACAATAGTTTGTTATTGTATTTTTATGTCATGCAAGGCTGATAGGACAACATGTGCGGTAGATTTGAATGATGTACGACAAAGATAAATGCCAAAAGTGGCGTGCACTAAAATCGTGTACAAAGTCTATGGGATTATGGGAACAGAAAGAAGGGGAAAAAATCAGAACAAAAACAATGGCTTTTTCGCAAATTTGCGAAAAAGCCAGAAATAAAGAAAAAGAAAAAAAAAAGAAAAAAAAACGGGAAAAAAGGTTGTTTCGGCCGGTTGCCCAAACAGCCAAATAAGTGTGCATGCGCACTTTAATATTCTACTCACCCAGATCATCTCTTGCAAATCATCGTTTTAGTCATTGTCACTTCGTATGGAAAAGCGTAACGATTAGCTTGTAAACATGTTTACAAAGTAATAGCAAGATTGTGTTTAATTGCTCATCACATTTTTATAGAGTGAACACAGCAAATCCGACTTGAAAATCACCATCATGGTTTTCTGGCAGATTACAAAAGTGAACTGGAGGTACATTGTAATTATTGTCTGCACTCAAAATAGGCCAGCCTACTGGATTGTCAGAAGTGTTTTCTTGTTTGTAGGCGTATATTAATTTTAGAGAGTAATCGACTGCGCATCTTAAATTGTACTCGCGTCAAACCAACTTCCTCTCGAAATTTGGATATTTGGAACTTGCCAAAAGTTCACTTCTTGTGAAATGTTGGAAAAAAACATTATCACATGTAGTGAGGTGAATTAAGTGGCCATTGTTAGATTGCATCAACAACTTTTTCCCACCTGCTATTTAACAGCTGGAGAAATGGTAAACATTTAGTGGGAGGGGCCTGGGGGGGGGGCTAAAATGAGGGAGGCACTGTGCCAGACCGTGCGTGGTAGGCTGCTGTTCTTCCGGTACTGCCTTCGTAGTAATGATGCTTATCTTTGAACATACAAGTAGAACCATTGGGAAATTATTGCCTGGCACTAACGTCGACTGTTTTAACAGACACCTGCTGTTTAAACGTCGGTGAAGGGCAAAGCCTAATTTGATTTAAATCACCCCGACGCAAAATTTCATCTTATAATAATCAATCTGGACATTACCAGATGTTTATGGTTCAACTACATGTACGGTGTTAGGAATCAAACTCAATTATAACCGAGAATAATATTGTTTGGTATCCGGGTTTCAACATAACTGTTACCCAGAAAGTATGAATTGCCAAAAAAAAAAGCGGCAAAGAACTTTGAGTTGAAAGCGAATATAAAGAGGAACACTTCGTGTTTCAAGATCATTCATCCACCGTAATTTGGCCTGAGAACACACATTTGGTTCTTCACCTTTATGAGGCGATGATATGAATGTCAGTAGCGCCAATGACGAGGTAAGAACCGCGCTGCCACCATGTAATAGGTGGTGGATTCACATGGAGTCGGGATGACCTCCAACTTAAGTGATAACCTCGGCTACTCTTTTATTATTGCCTAACAACATGAACCCGAGAACTATCTGGAAGCATGACTGGCACCCTCTATGGTCAGATACTATTACAGTATCCATGTTCAAACATATTCCCAGAGAGCCTTCATAGATGCCTATAGCGACCAAGAACGTTGAGCTGCAAACAAATATAAAGAGGAACGCTTCGTGTTTCCCGATCATTCATCCACCGCAACTTGACCTGAGAACACAACAAAACTGACTTGAAGATTATCCTCATGACTTTCAGTAAAGTTTCGTGCGTGATGTTCTTTCTGGTCCTCGATTTAGTATCCGCGGATGACTGTCCACCGCTCTGGACAGGCTACGGTAACTACTGCTACCGTTTCTTCGGTCCCCCCCCCCCCCCCAGACCTGGCAATCGGCCGAGGAGCACTTCACCCGAAACGGCCAGGGGCACCTGGCGTCCATCCACAGCTCCGCGGAGAACGACTTCTTGATACAGCTGTGGACAACATCTTTGGTACCAAACGACAACACTGTGGGACATTTCGTCTGGGTAGGACACAACGACCGCTCGTTTGAGAAAGCTTCACCTGGAGTTACGGGACGGGCGTTGGTTACGCCGGGTGGCGTCCTGACGATCCAAACAACTTTGGATCAGGCCAGGACTGCGGCTCGCTCTGGAGGACCACCGAGCAGGTTGGATGGGATGACAGCGTTTGCAGTGAGGCCCTACCATACCTTTGCAAGATACCTTCAATTCAATTCAATTCAAGAAACATTTATTTCATACTCCATTAGAGAAATACATCAATAAATAAAAGATATCTGGTACATAGCAAAATAACGAATTCGATAACTATGTCACACAAAAAATGTAATAAAAGTAAACTGCGCTATTAACAAATGTTAAGTTAAGTTTGGTTTATGTACAGGAGAAAATAGGAGTATGGGGCTGTTAGAGTAAGCCGAGGCTTGTAAGAAACAGCCTTTACAAACAACAATAACAACAGAAAAACAAAACTATAACGAGACACAGACAATACAAACAAGACAGAAGTAAAGGGAAAAACGACCGCTAATCACAGTTGGTAAAACATAAACGTGTTATCCTCTCACCAGGCGGAATCACTTGAAAAGACAATGACGAAACTTTATCACCAGAACTGCCAGTCGACGAGCAATGGATCTTTGTGAATAATTCACTGGGTCTTTTACTAGCCTCACTTAGTGCCTCACTAGGTAAGCCCTCCGGAAAATAATGCAAATAATGCAATAATCAAAATGACAGTTGGGTGACAATGTCGATTTCAGTTTCATTAAATTGGCCTTGGTTACAAACTTGGCGAAATTTAACATAAAGTTTAACTGACACGCCCACATCGAAAACTGCATGAATGACTGCATGATGTTCTGCGAATGATGAACGCTTTCTGAGCATTCCTTCAATCCATAGATAGTCAACTAATTTTTAAATGAAGGTAATTTCAGTAATTTCGGTGCCTGACGATCATGTTTCATTGAAGATCTCGCATCGGTTGACACTGTTGTTTTGTTCTACTAATTATTAACCTCCCTAACTCTTCGGATCTGAAACAGTGACCAAAAACCGACTTAAAATACTTTGGAAGCTTCAGACCAGTGACACTGCAAGTTCATTTCGTAATAATTTCCAAATGACTTTTAAAGCTTTCATGTGTGAATTGGCTCGCTTAAAAACTGCACTGGTATGACTTTGCTCGATTTAAAGACGGTTTGATAAGAAAAGCAAAAGCGCATGTAGGCTATATAGCTGGCCCTTCATATGGAACTTATAGGTTTTGGAGTATGCTTGCTGCAGTAGGTAATAATAAATATTGCACGATATCGTGACAGTAATACTCTGAATTAAAATAAGGAACAAGTTATTAAATATATAATGTCTCCGATCTTCAACAAATCCTATAAGTGTACTGAAAATGCCTATTCAGTATAGGCCTTCCATAGCATTTAATTTGTTTTTCTTCTTCTTTTCCTTGCTTTTTACGCTAATGATGTTGATTGTACCAATTAATTTAAAATTTCAATATTTGAAATAACGAAAATACCTCAATGCCTTTATTATTTCAAATAGGTGAACAGGTGTTATGAAATTAATAAATGTAACTTTATCAAATATATAGAGGCCTATGAGTTATAAAAGACGACTAACAAAGAGATACGAGACACGTGAAATAAACACAGCATCACACTTTACATTCTCATTTACAAGTTCGTGTCAACAGTATATTTTACTTCACACCACACTAAATCAATACCTCAATGCCTTTTATTATTTCAAATAGGTGAACAGGTGTTATGGAATTAATAAATGTAACTTTATCAAATATATAGAGGCCTATGAGTTATGAAAGACGACTAACAAAGAGATACGAAACACGTAAAATAAACACAGCATCACACTTTACATTCTCATTTATAAGTACGTGTCAACAGTTTATTTTATTTCACACCACACTAAATCAATGACAATTTAATGAATTCTATATAACGATATTCTTGCGCTTTTCTTGCTCACGTGATCATGTCTTGCTCATTCCTTGTTAATTTTTGCTCATTTGCTCATTTCTTGCTCTGTCCTTCTCACTTGCTCATTTCCTGCTCATTTCTTGCTCATTTGCCCATTTTCTGATCAGCTTGTGCTCATCTGCTCACGTGGCCGCCCATCCGCAAATCTCTTTTCACTGATCAACGAATGAGCATAGCAACGATTTGTGAATGGCCGACGAAATGAGCAGATGAGCACAAAGGCGTAGCTAGCGGGGGGGGGGGGGGGGTAAGGGGGATATTTACCCCCCAATATTTTGTAAAAACTGCCTTTTTCCATTCAAAAAGTTTTACCTCCCCCCAACGCAAATTACCGTGCTACGCCCTTGGAGCAGAATTGAATTGATAGAAAATGAGCAAGAAATGAGCAAATGAGCAAGAAAAGAGCACGAAATTAGCAAATGAGCAAGAAATGAGAAAAGAAAAAACAAGTGAGCAAGACATGATCACGTGAGCAAGAAAAGCGCAAGAATATCGTTATATAGGTGTCATTAAATTGTTATTGATTGAGTGTGGTGTGAAATAAAATTAACTGTTGACACGAACTTGTAAATGAGAATGTAAAGTGAGATGCTGTGTTTATTTTACGTGTCTCGTATCTCATTGTTAGTCGTCTTTTATAACTCATAGGCCTCTATATATTTGATAAAGTTACATTTATTAATTTCATAACACCTGTTCACCTATTTGAAATAATAAAGGCATTGAGGTATTTTCGTTATTTCAAATATTGAAATTTTAAATTAATTGGTACAATCAACATCATTAGCGTAAAAAGCAAAGAAGAGAAGAAGAAAAACAAATTAAATGCTATGAAAGGCCTATACTGAATAGACATTTTCAGTACACTTATAATAACTAACAATACATAGCTTGAAATATGATTTATGTGTACATTTACCTCCTCCTCGGGAACCGGCATACAAATACACACTTAAAATGTGCGCCCACTGCGTGCTCTCCTACGTCTGTATACCCTTTCTTTTGCATAACCAATTATGTATACCAACAATACTCATTCGACGCTAATCCCCACGATCGATTTTTCCATCGATCCGTGATGTCACAACGACAGAGACACACCCCGTTTATGATCCTTGTCGGGGTTACCGATATGATCCTCGATGAGGATCATGATCCTCCACCGGAAAACGAGGTCAAATACGCACTGTACACTACTTCTTATACGTTTGATGTAATGGCAAAGTCGCTAGCTCACGCAGGAAAAGTTTAACTGAGTAAGACACTTTAATATTGCGTGAGCTTTATTCCAACTTCCAAAACGTCTGAACCAGCAGATCAGTTGTATAAAAAATGACATAAAAAGAATGCCTTGCACAATTTATATTATACTTATAATCATTGTAACCTGATGGGAATTTGAATCATTGTAATCAGTATTCTTGGCAGTATCACCAGTTTCTGAAGGTGTGAATATGTACGACTGCGTATGAAAAAAAGTCAATACGCAACTCATAAGGAATCAGGATACGCAGGAGTGTGACAGGGCCCTAAGTCAATGAAATGGAAATTCAAGGCAGAACATGCCTACAGAGTCTCTAGAAAACAGCCTAATAGTGCATGAGGAATACATTTCGATTTGATCTAGATATACAGATGTAATTTAAACGTTCCTACTGCCAAGACAAACTTTAGACTCATTTCGACTGAGATTTATAATCTAATATAATCTGTGAAGACTTGTACTGAAAATGTATAAATTAAAGCAAATCACTTCATATAGCCCTTTATCTCTGTGTTACTTTACAATCATTACCTAATTTAATATGCAAATGAAAAACAAACCAGCAAACGTCAGAACAATTAAAAATGCTGATCGGTATTAACAATAGAAAAGGAATATTTCATTTTCATATAATTACTTTTTGTGGATTCACTTTTTTCGCTTAAACCTTTTTTAACCGAAGTATATAACATCATGGAGTTACAGAAATGGGTAATATACATTCATGTGAAATAAAAAGACGTTTTCACTAGAATAATGCATAACTCTGATATGAAAGACATACAATATATCAAAACAAGGCACATGTGACACTTCTAAAGTGGATTTGTGTATATTATCTATAAGTAGGTGACTGACGTCTGATCTAAAATATACAGATACAAATCATAATAACCTTCAAGTTTTTATACATGTATCTTCATTCACTCATCTTGGGCAGAATAATTGAGACTTTATTGAAAATCATTATCCGACTTTCAACTGAACACTTTAGGCCTATACCAGCTGTAGCGTTCGCTACCAACAAGATCAATCAAATCCAGTCTTGAGTATTTTGGCAGTGCTACCCGGAAAATTCTGAGCATATACCTCATGCACATGATTGCATTCGCTTATAAAAACATTAAGCTTGTAATTTCCCAGGTATAGCACTGCCAAAGTCCGGCCCAAGACAGGATTTGATTGATCTTTTGTTGAATGCGACCGCTACAGCCGTACAGGTCCTTAATGTCTTATAGCTCTTTTGACTTCTGACTGTAAAGTAATTATAATGCGCTCAGTGTGCACAATCAAACGTCCTTTGTTGGCCTATAGAGATTATAAGCAAGCAATTCACATAAGCCCAACACCGCTCACAAAAGCCGAAAAGTTCGACTTTGGTTAGGGAACGGGTCTTATGGGGATGAAAACAACAAACTAATCCTGCCTGCCTGGGTAACACAAGTAAAACTAGAAATGTATTTGTCAAGTGATCGGAACTTAAGAAACTAAAGGTCCCACCTAAGGTTTGTAAACTTGAATAAACCGAAGTTGAAGTAGGCCCCGGGCCCCTGGGACCTGTTTGAATTTAAATCCTACTTGCTGTAAACAAGGTTGACTTCTGTGACATTTTGATCCCTGCATCACGTGGCAATTGCATTAAAGTTTCTGGATTTGTATGAACCCGGATCTTCCAACCGAATTCTCAATAACGGATCATACCCCGCCCCCCCCCCCCCCCCCCTAACAATACGGATGTGAAGTGAGGCGAATCAGAGGAGGGGGGTCAAAGAAAAACATTCGTCCTGGGATCACCATTGGTTTTAAAGACTTTTTAACTTTATTTAAAAGGACTTGTGAACACGATATGCTTCCTATAAAATCGCTCAGAAAAAAATATAGTTATACTCTTAAAGAATTGGTCACAAATATTAGGCAATGTGACGCACAATAAGCAACCACAGAGAAGAAAGCAGAGTGAACCATGCCGCGAATACTGCAATTTGGTGACTACATTTACATGTATATGATAGCATGCAGTCGGCGCACCATGGGAGAGGGTCGGTTACCATATTACACATCAAGGACTGGCCAGTCTGCATGCACTTTGACTTGCGTTGTTGTGTGAAGAGCGTCAGATGGGCCCTAATTTAATATGCAACTGATGTTAAAACGCGCACAAGACATAAGTCACGAGCACATTAAGGCTATTCTATTTCGTTAGTCCCTCAATATTTCCCCCCCTCCCCCCTCCCAACCCCCTTCACTTATAATTGACTGTACCGTGCAACTTCTTAAGCTTTAGCATGAAGTACATGTTGGGCAATGTATTATACATAAGTTTGGAAAGAATTTAGTTTTACATCTTTTGTCCCAGAGTCTGAGCTCGAGTCACGTTTCACGTCGCTTGGGTTTGTCCCCTTTGCCGTATTTTTTTTTTGACAGCTGTTACTTTGCAGTGATCATTATGATAATGTTGAAACGTTTTGGGAATCGTCCAAAATCCATTACCGAACTTCGACAGAACCACGTACATGTTGTTCTGTGGAATAGGCCCTACACAGGGTAACGTGATCCAAAGTTCAATGGGGTGGAAACCTACTTAAAACTCATGCAGCAAATTGGGAAACCTTAATTTGGGATGTTGAATAGCGGAGTACTTCATGTTTCCAGATCATTCATCGACTGCAACTAGCCTCGGTAAGAACACACAGCAAACCTGACTTGAAGATCGTCATCATGGCTTTCCGTAAGATTTCGTGCGTGATGTTCTTTCTGGTCCTCGGTTTAGTATCCGCGGATGACTGTCCACCGTTCTGGACACGCTACGGTAACTACTGCTACCGTTTCTTCGGTCCTCCCAAGACCTGGCAATCGGCCGAAGAGCACTGCCGAGAGTTCTTCACCCGAAACGGCCAGGGGCACCTTGCGTCCGTTCACAGCTCAGGGGAAAACAACTTCCTGCTCCAGATGTGGAGTTCCTCTCTGCTACCAAAGGAGGGAATTGTGGCTGCTGCCATCTGGATTGGGCACAGCGACCTGGCTAATGAAGGACAATTCACCTGGAGTGACGGGACGAGCTTTGACTACAACGGCGGGTGGCGTACTGGCCAACCGAACGACTCTGGACAAGGCGAGGACTGCGGCTCTATCTATAGGACCACCCAGCAGGTTGGATGGAATGATGGACCATGCGGTTCGGCCCACCCATACCTTTGCAAGATGCCCTCATATTAGAACAGAGAGCAGTAAAGGGGTAAACAACCGCTATTCTCAAATGTTAAAACAATAACTATAGCCTGTTATCATAATCAGGCGGAATCACTGACTTGCAAAGACAATGACGAACAAATCACTGGGTCTTATGAACTATTCATGGGATATTTTAGCCTGGCTTTGTGTGCACTACGACAACATGACATTTAGGTGACGATTTCGTTTTAATCGGATATTGGTCTTGGTTGCGAAACATCAACTTTAAGCCGACACACCCACATCGAAAACTGGATGAATGACTGCATGATGTTCTCCGAATGATCATAACGCTTTCCAAACATTCCTTCGAACCATGTCACAAAATAGTTGACTATCGTCACCGCATTTTTGAATGAAGGTAATTTCAGTAAATTCGGTGCATGATGATCATGTTTCATAAACACTTCTGATCGCATCGTTGTACACTGAATTTTGTTTGTACTATAGCATTAACCCCCCTGACTCTTTGGATCTGATACAGTGGCAAAAAAAGACTGAAGATACAAGTTTCGAGAGCCTCAGATCAGCGACACTGCAAGTTCATTTCTTAATAATTTCCAATTGCTTTTATAGCTTTCATGTGAATTGGCTTTTAAAAATTGCATTGATATGACTTTGCTCGATTTCAAGACGATTTGATAAGAAAATCAAATATCTTTAAACAGCGCATGTAGGCATATAGCTGGCCCTGCATATTGAACTAGCTTTTGAAGTACGCTTGCCGCAGTAGGTAATGCAAGTATTGCACGATATAGTGACAGTAAAACTCTGTATACAAGCCTGCATTAAAATAAGGAACAAGTTATGAAATATGTAATGTCTTCAATCTTCAACAAATATTATACATACATGTAGTTATTGGTTCTACTCGGTTGATGTACTGGCAAAGTCGCTTGGGAGAGCCCCTTGCAACGATTAACCCCAGTGTTCACAGTTCACACAAGAAAAGTTTAATAAGTATTAAAGACACTTTAATATTGCGTGAGTTTTATTCCAACTTCCAAAACGTCTGAACCAGCAGACTTGTATATCAAAAAGTACCCAAAAGAATGCCTTGCACAATTTATATTATACTTATAATCATTGTAACCTGATGGGAATTTGAATCATTGTAATCAGTATTCTTGGCAGTATCACCAGTTTCTGAAGGTGTGATTATGTAAGTCAATGAAATGAAAATTCAAGGCAGAACATGCCTTCAAAGTTTCTAGAAAACAGCCTAATAGTGCATGAGGAATACATTTCGATTTGATCTGGATACAAATGAGATTTAAACGTTCCTACTTCCAAGACAAACTTTATACTCATTTCGACTGAGATTTATAATCTAATATAATCTGTGAAGACTTGTACTGAAAATGTATTAATTAAAGCAAATCACTTCATATAGCCCTTTATCTCTGTGTTACTTTACAATCATTACCTAATTTAATATGCAAATGAAAAACAAACCAGCAAAATTTCAGTACAATTAAAAATGCTGATCTGTATTAACAATAGAAAAGGAATATTTCATTTTCATATAATTACTTTTTGTGGATTCACTTTTTTCGCTTAAACCTTTTTTTAACCGAAGTATATAACATCATGGAGTTACAGAAATGGGTATTATACATTCATGTGAAATAAAAAGACGTTTTCACTAGAATAATGCATAACTCTGATATGAAAGACATACAATATATCAAAACAAGGCACATGTGACATTTCTAAAGTGGATTTGTGTATATTATCTATAAGTAGATGAGTGACGTCTGATCTAAAATATACAGATACAAATCATAATAACCTTCAAGTTTTTATACATGTATCTTCATTCACTCATCTTGGGCAGAATAATTGAGACTTTATTGAAAACCATTATCCGACTTTCAACTGAACACTTTAGCTGCGTGGTAACTTCAGTCGCCATATAACACACAAACGATCAGGTTTCCTGATCAAAAAGCCTCATTTTTTTCTCCTAAAGACGACCGCCCTTCACAATCAAAGGAGTTATAAGACATGTAGGCCTATACCAGCTGTAGCGTTCGCTACCAACAAGATCAATCAAATCCAGTCTTGAGTATTTTGGCAGTGCTACCCGGAAAATTCTGAGCATATACCTCATGCACATGATTGCATTCGCTTATAAAAACATTAAGCTTGTAATTTCCCAGGTATAGCACTGCCAAAGTCCGGCCCAAGACAGGATTTGATTGATCTTTTGTTGAATGCGACCGCTACAGCCGTACAGGTCCTTAATGTCTTATAGCTCTTTTGACTTCTGACTGTAAAGTAATTATAATGCGCTCAGTCTGCACAATCAAACCTCCTTTGTTGGCCTATAGAGATTATAAGCAAGCAATTCACATAATTCCAACACCGCTCACAAAAGCCGAAAAGTTCGACTTTGGTTAGGGAACGGGTCTTACGGGGATGAAAACAACAAACTCATCCTGACCATAATGCCTGGGTAAAACAAGTAAAACTAGAAATGTATTTGTCAAGTGATCGGAAATTAAGGAACTAAAGGTCCCACCTACACTCTAAAAAATAGTTGCTCAATATTGGGTAAAATTACTACCTTTTCGAGAGTAAAAAGGGAACATTGTCGTCAACTTGTGTACTTTTTTTTACACAACAGCTAAAGTGCAAAAAAGTACCCATTTCAGTGTAACTTTTACCCATAATTGTGTTACGTGTTTGCACAACAAAGTTGGGTAACAAAGTTTACCCATGTGACGACCATGTTCCCTTTTTACTCAATTATTGGGTAAACTTTACCCAACCCTCCTTTTACCCAAGTGTTGTGTCAGTTTCTTACCCAGATATTGGGTTCTAATTTTTACCCTGCACTATTGGGTTCTAAATTTACCCATCACTTGGGTTGTTTTTGAATTCGTTGTTGTGTACCTTTGTTATTGATCCTTGCGGTTTTATTCAACTTTGAACTCTGCAATGTGAATTGCATGCTAGAGACAGCAATCGCGAGGGATTTCAATAACTGAGTCCTGGGTTGGAAAGTCAGTAAAATGAATAAGATGATATTTCCCCAAATATAGTGCTGATGAATAAGGACTATTACAAGGAACGTGGGCTAAATGATGGGCAGGGGTGTTAGAATTTCCCTCAATCAACTCATTCAAAAACAATTTCCCAAATGTCGGCCACTCATTTTACTCCGTGTTTCTAGATCTGAGAACACTCACTATACGGTACATGAAACGTACTATGCATCATGTGCATGGAATCGTGGTTGGCAGAGCCGTGACGTCCAAGTTGCACATAAATGTCCAAAAAATAAGCATGTTACTTCTCTAATCTCCCCGATATTAATCCTCATACATCAGCATCCCATTTGGAGGAAACAACACTGAAATTCATTTCACTGACTTACCTGGAACAAAGAAATCACGTCATCAAAATCCCCAAATTGTTGAAGGTCTCACAAGCGGCGGCCATATTGTACATGAGTGATGACGCGTGCACAATATTGGGTAAACATTGTCACGTGCGTCAGTTTACCCCACACAGTGGTAACATTTTACTAATGTCATGGTAAATTCTACTCTTCAACGTGTGCAATGAAATAATTGTTACACAGCGGTGGGGTAAATCCAGTTTCTTTAACCCATCACTTGGGTAATAACACCATGATTTGAACTCTTTGCCTGTGCTGCAGGGACTTGTAGTCAATGTTGGGTACTATTTTACCCTTTTCATGTGTAACACATTTGACACAAGTAGGAGGTACAAGCGAAATTGTCATTTTGCTCAATATTGGGCAGAAATGACGCAATTTTTTTACACAACAGTTTTACACAACATAAATTTACACTTCTTTTTTAGAGTGTAAGGTTTGTAAACTGAATAAACCGAAGTTGAAGTAGGCCCCGGGCCCCAGGGACGAGTTTGAATCAGAATCCTACTTGCTGTAAACAAGGTTGACCTCTGTGACTTTGGATCCCTGCATCATATGGTAATTGCATTAAAGTTTCTGGATCTTATTGGTATGAACCCCGATCTTCCAACCGAATTCTCAATAACGGATCATGTTATTTTCCCTTTAATAATACGGATGTGAAGTGAGGCGAATCAGAGGAGGGGGTCAGAGAAACACATTTCGTCCCGGGATTACCATTGGTTTTAAAGACTATTTGTTAAACTTTATTTAAAAGGACTTGTGAACAGGATATGCTTCCTATAAAATTGCTCAGAAAAATTATAGTGATACTCTTAAAAAATTCATCACATATGAGGCAACAATACGCAACCACAGTGAAGAAAGCAGAGTGCACCATGCCGCGTATAATGTTGGCATTTTGGTGACTGCATGTATATAATAAGATGCAGTCGGTGCACCATTGGAGATCGGGAGCAAATCGGGAAACCTTAATATGGGATGTTCAATAGCGGAGTACTTCATGTTTCCAGATCACTTATCGACTGCAACTAGCCTCGGTAAGAACACACAGCAAACCTGACTTAAAGATCATCATCATGGCTTTCCCTAAGATTTCGTGCGTGATGTTCTTACTGGTCCTCGGTTTAGTATCCGCAAATACTGCTACCGTTTCTTCAGTCCTCCCAAGACCTGGCAATCGGCCGAGGAGCACTGCCGAGAGTTCTTCACCTGAAACGGCCAGGGGCACCTGGCGTCCATCCACAGCTCCGGGGAGAACGACTTAATGCTCATGTGGAGTACCTCTCTGGTACCAAATGAGGAGATTGTGGGAGCTCACATCTGGATTGGGCAGAGCGACCTGGCGAATGAAGGAAGCTTCACCTGGAGTGACGGGACGAGCTTTGACTACGACGCCGGGTGGCTTACTGGCCAACCGGACGACTCTGGAGGTGTCGAGGACTGCGGCTCTTTCTGGAGAGACACCGAGCGGGTTGGATGGAATGATGACCGTTGCCATTGGGCTCTCCCATACCTTTGCAAGATGCCCTCAAATTAGAACAGAGAGAAGTAAAGGGGTAAACCACCGCTATTCCCAGATGGTACAACAATGACTAACCTGTTATCCAATATCCTGTCACCAGGCGGAATCACTGACTTGCAAAGACAATTACGAACAATTCACTGGGTCTTATCAACAATTCACTGGGTCTTGTAGCCTGGCTTTGCGTGCCCTACGGAAACATGATATCCTAACAACAGTTACGTGACGATTTCGGTTTAATCGGAAATTGGTCTTGTTTACAAACGTTGCGAAACATCAACTTTAGCCGACGCACCCACATTGAAAACTGGATGAGTGACTGCATGATGTTCTCTGAATGATGAGCGCTTTCTAAGCATTCCTTCGAACCATTTCACTACATAATCACCGCATTTTTGAATGAAGGTAATTTCAGTAAGTTCGGTGCCTGATGATCATGTTTCATAAACACTTTAATTCTCGCATCGGTTCACACTGGATTTTTGTTCTACTATATTATTAACCTCACTGACTCTTTGGATCTGACACAAGTCACAAAAACGACTTAAATACTTTCGACAGCCTCAGATCGTGGCACTTCAAGTTCATTTCTTAATAATTTCCAGTTGATTTTATAGCTTTCATGTGAATTGGCTTTTAAAAACTGCATTGGTATGACTTTGCTCGACATAAAGACGGTTTGATAAGAAAAGCAAATATCTATAGACAGCACGTGTATATGTAGCTAGCTGGCCCTGCATACTGAACTTGTAGCTTTTAGATTACGCTTCAAGCAGTAGGTAATTAAGCCTGCATTAAAAAAGAAACAAGTTATTAAATATTTAATGTCTTTGATCTTCAACAAATCTTATATTGTCCTACATGGTAGATATAATGGCAAAGTCGCTTGGGAGACACCCCCCCCCCCCCCCGTAACGATTAACTGAAGTGTTCACACACAATTCACACACAAAAAGTTTAACTGAGTTAGAAACTTTAATATTGCTTGTTTTATTCCAACTTCCAAAACGTATGAACCAGCAGACTTTCTTGTATCAAAAAGGACACAAAAGAATGCCTTGCACAATATCCACGTATATTGTACCCTAAAGGTGTTTTTCCCCATATAATATCATGAGCTTTAATCGTTGCAATCAGTATTCTTGACAGTATCACCAGTTTCTGAAGGGGTTAATATTGTAATTAAACAGCAGAAAACAACCTAATATACAGTATGTCCCAAACAAGTGTCAGTCTGACTATTTTCGAAATAATTACAAAACTATGAAGTCAATTTTGAAATTTGTTTGGTTGTGCAGATACTCCTAAGCCTTGGCCTCAACCCTTGTGGGTTTCATTTAATTTCAGTCACGCATCACTACTCAATTGTCAATTGATCACAACAACATTTTTGGACACTGTCCTTGCATTATTCCATTTCAGTACTGTGTTAAGTAAGCTGTGTAAAATCCTTCATGTTGTAAAAAGGGCTGCAGTTGGGATTGGAATCATTTGCCTGGCTATCAGTCATCTTTGGCAAGACCTCAGTTTAATGCTCAAGGGCAAATGATTCCAATCCCAAACCACATCAGCCTTTTTCCCCTAACATGCAGGATTTTACACAACTTACATAAAACAGCATTGAAATTGATTATGAGGCATGTCCAAAAATGTTTTGTGATCAATTGACAATTGTGCAATGATGCGTTACTGAAATTAAATGGAACGCATAGGGTTTGAGGCCAAGGAGTAGGAATATCTGCACAACCAACAATTTTAAAACTTGACCTCGTGGTTTTATAGTTATTTTAAAAACAAACAGTCAGACGGACACTTTTTGGGGACATACTGTGGTTCATGAGGAATACATTTTGATTGAATCTAGATACCGATTTGATTTAAATGTTCCTGTTGCCAAGACACCTTAGCACTGAATTGGATTGTGAATTTAAAATCCCATAAAATCTGTGTATAATCTTTTTCATGTACTGAAAATATATTCATTATAGCACTTCATCTTTATTGTTTTGGTTGTATTGTGTTTCTCATTATGTATTACATTGACAATTATTATTACCTGCAAAACAAATTTATGTGGAAAATAGAAACAGAGCAAAAAAGAGACTGTGTTCAATATTAAATGCTGCTCGGTACCAAAAGTATAAATGGGATGTTTTCAAATTAGTTTAAGTACCTTTTTACGCGCATTCCCTATATTGCACTTAAACCTTTACAGAGCAACATATAACATGATGGAGCTACGAAAATGGGTAATATGCATTCATGTGAAATAAAAAGAAGTTACTAAGCACATATAAATAGATATGAAAGACATGCAACATATAGAAAAGCCTTTTTTGTATATCTATCAATACAGGAGTGAAGTGTGATCTAAAATGTACTAAACAGATACAATTCAAAATATCCTTCAAGTTTTATATATTCATTCATTCATTTGGGCAGAATAATTGAGAGTTTATTGAAAACTTTCATCCGACTTCAACTGAACACTTTAGCTACGTGGTAACTTCATTTTCCATGAGTGATAATATAGCCTACTTCAAGTTCAAGTTTCCTGGTCAATACTTTCGGCTAAATGGTGTCTTTTTCTTATAACCTCGGGGTAAATTAAGTGAAAACAATGCATAAAGCTAGGGTGCAGATTTTCAGGACGGTTAAAGTAGGGCTAGAGTTAAAAACTCTCCTATCACCAAGAATACGATAAAACACATTCGCTTGTTGCTTGTGGTAACAAATCGGAAATAAAAGAACTAGGTTTATATGTATATACCTCAAGGTTTGTAAACTGAAGAAACCGAAGTTGAAGTAGGCCCCGGGGACGAGTTTGAATCAGAATCCTACTTGCTGTAAACAAGGTTTGACTTCTGTGACTTTGGATCCCTGCATCACATGGCAATTGCATTCCTGTTTCTGGATCTTATTAGTATGAACCCGGATCTTCCAACCGAATTCTCAAGAACGGATCATGGTGGGTTTTTTTTAAAGCTCTGGCAACAGCGCTTCTATACAAGTCACTTAAAAACAAACAGTCAGACGGACACTTTTTGGGGACATACTGTGGTTCATGAGGAATACATTTTGATTGAATCTAGATACCGATTTGATTTAAATGTTCCTGTTGCCAAGACACCTTAGCACTGAATTGGATTGTGAATTTAAAATCCCATAAAATCTGTGTATAATCTTTTTCATGTACTGAAAATATATTCATTATAGCACTTCATCTTTATTGTTTTGGTTGTATTGTGTTTCTCATTATGTATTACATTGACAATTATTATTACCTGCAAAACAAATTTATGTGGAAAATAGAAACAGAGCAAAAAAGAGACTGTGTTCAATATTAAATGCTGCTCGGTACCAAAAGTATAAATGGGATGTTTTCAAATTAGTTTAAGTACCTTTTTACGCGCATTCCCTATATTGCACTTAAACCTTTAAAGAGCAACATATAACATGATGGAGCTACGAAAATGGGTAATATGCATTCATGTGAAATAAAAAGAAGTTACTAAGCAATACTGGTCAATACTTTCGGCTAAATGGTGTCTTTTTCTTATAACCTCGGGGTAAATTAAGTGAAAACAATGCATAAAGCTAGGGTGCAGATTTTCAGGACGGTTAAAGTAGGGCTAGAGTTAAAAACTCTCCTATCACCAAGAATACGATAAAACACATTCGCTTGTTGCTTGTGGTAACAAATCGGAAATAAAAGAACTAGGTTTATATGTATATACCTCAAGGTTTGTAAACTGAAGAAACCGAAGTTGAAGTAGGCCCCGGGGACGAGTTTGAATCAGAATCCTACTTGCTGTAAACAAGGTTTGACTTCTGTGACTTTGGATCCCTGCATCACATGGCAATTGCATTCCTGTTTCTGGATCTTATTAGTATGAACCCGGATCTTCCAACCGAATTCTCAAGAACGGATCATGGTGGGTTTTTTTGAAAGCTCTGGCAACAGCGCTTCTATACAAGTCACTCGGGTGTCGGTCGGTCGGTCGGTCGGTCGGTCGGTCAGTCGGTCGGTCGGTCGGTCGGTCGGTCGGCCCCCCACCCCAGACAAAAAAATCCAAAAACGAACCCCCTAACTCACCCATAAAACTGTAAGTACCAAACTGTAACTGTCCAAAAAAAAGCAAACAAAATACATTAAATACTTGTTAAAAATTAACAATTCGGGACATTGTTTATGATTTTTTTTAGAGGCAAGATAATGTGTGGTAATGTTAGGCCCCCCCCCCCCCAAAAAAGTCGGTCTCTGGTCAGACTGAAGTTCCGGAATTGATGCGGCGACGCGGGTTTTTTTTGGGGGGGGTGGTTTTTTTTTTTCAAGCTTGAATTGTACAGACGAGGTGGGTATTATTTCGCTTTTTTGTGTCCTCATTATACATTGGTGTCCTCCATAATATGCCTTGGTGCCCTTTATCATTTGCCTTGGTGCAATTTCCCCATTCCTTGGTGCTCCTTGGTACAAACATTTGAGGAGGTGCGGCAATAGAGGGCGCTGTTGTAGCTTCCGTGTTAATTTGAAGGGAAACAAAAGGTTGACGCGCATGATTAAATCGACGCGCGCGCTGACCAGAGACCGAGTATTTTTTTTTATGGCCTTACAGTCACGTGCAACTTCTTAAGTTTTAGCATGAAGTACATGATGGACAATTATGTATTGTACATAAGTTTGGAAAAGATTTAGTTTTACACCTCCCCCCCCCCCCCCCCCCCAAGAGTCAGCCCCTCAGGTTCGTCACAGGTAGTGGGGGACTGCCAATGGTACAGACACGGGCGTGTCAACATTGTTTTCCATGATGCATGGAGATTATCTGACAATTTTTCAAACGAAATCACGATCAAGAGATCCGGCTCGAAGGCCCAAATTATGTTCTGAACTTGGGTAGCTGGGTGGATTTTAATCTCATAAATGTGAACTTGATTCCATTAACTGTTACTTCTGGCCGATAAAGTTCAGCGTCAGTGATTTATTCTTTCTTTCCCTTTGTCCTTTTCTTCACATCTGTGTTTGTTTCTTTGTTTCTTTGTATCTTTATGCTGAAATATCACTGAGAATTACATCAGTAATCAGTAAATGAAAATAATAATAGAGAGCAATCATTCAATGAATTAATAATAGAGAGTTACAACAGTTATCACTCAATGAAATGATAATAGATCCGACAATGTGACAATTATAGGCGAATATAGATTCTAAATAAACTGTTCATCATATCAAATATTACCACAGGAATGGAATTAAACAATTATAGTTTAGGTAACACAATGTCAGGGTGATTAAATGTTGAAAAACAGCAATTTTCCTGCATCAAGATGGAGATTTGCATGTAACCTGGATAGAAGCATAATCGGGATCAATTGTAATAGCGCCCTCTGTTGTTGGACTAGCTAGTTTTTACAAGGGGTGAACTTTCAAGCTCTATTGTGCCTGGCAATAGTGCGTTCGAGAAGCTCACCCGGATGCGTATTTATTTTATTTTGGCAGCATACATCGTATTACAACCAATCACATCACGCACCCTAAAATGAATATTTATCACGCTGTGTGGACGGAAAACACGCAGGTTCTGGTATTGTTTTCCCTAGAATTAAACTTATCCCAAAGAACAAAAATATTCGATGAAACTGGACATAGGCATAGTAGGTGGTTCGGGCCACAGATCTTGCGATCCATAGTTCCACTATCCACTAGTCCACATTCCCAAGAATGACGTCAGAGCTAATTCGAACCGTACGTGGCAAACCCGAGCCGGCATCCGGGTGAGCTACTCGAACGCACCCAGTATAAATGTCGGGTGCATATCCGGGTTCACACGTCACTCTGTTGCCCGGAAAGCAATGAAATGCCAAATAGAGGACAAAACAAGAACGTTAAATTGAAAGCGAATAGCAAAAAACGATAAAGCGAATAGTAAAGAGGAACATTTACACATTCATTCACCGCGGCAAATTGGCCTGTGAACACAACAAAACTGACTTGAAGATCGTCATCATGGCTTTCCGTAAGATTTTGTGCGTGATGTTCTTGCTGGTCCTGGGTTTAGTATCCGCGGATGACTGTCCACCGTTCTGGACACGCTACGATAACTACTGCTACCGTTTCTTCGGTCCTCCCAAGACCTGGCAATCGGCCGAGGAGCACTGCGGAGAGTTCTTCACCCGTGACGGCCAGGGTCGCCTGGCGTCCGCCCACAGCTCAGGGGAAAACAACTTCCTGCTCCAGATGTGGAGTACCTCTCTGGTACCAAACGATGGCGTTGTGGGTGCTAGCGTCTGGATTGGGCTCAACGACCTGGCGAATGAAGGACGATTCACCTGGAGTGACGGGACGAGCTTAAATGACTACAACGCCGGTTGGCGTACTGGCCAACCGGACGACGGTGGACAAGCTGAGGACTGCGGCTGTTTCTGGAGGACCACCGAGCAGGTTGGATGGAATGATGAAGGTTGCGGTTCGGCCCTCCCATACATTTGCAAGATGCCCTCATATTATAACAGAGAGCAGTAACGGGTTAAACGACCGCTATACATGACAGATGGTGAAACATTAACGTGTTAATTGTAAAGGCAATACCATAACCTTTATCAGAAATGCCAATCGACACGCACCGAATCTTAGTTTGTGAAATATTCACTGGGTCTTTTAGCCTGATTTAGTGTGTGCCCTACTGAAACATGTAATCCCAACGACTTCTGTTTAATTAAATTGGCCTTGTTAAATACAAGCTTTGCAAAACACTTTACCTGACACACCTACATCGAAAACTGGATGATGATAAATGCCTTCTCGACTGGACATCAGGTGAATGTCTCAAGGATTCACTCGAACCACTGGAAGTCACAGCATTTTTGAACAGAGGTTTACACTATATCAACCTCCATGACTAATCGGATCTGATACAGTGACAAAAACGATTTTAAACGAAAACTTTCGAGAGCCTCAGATCAGTGACACTGCAAGTTCATTTCGTAATAATTTCCAATTGCTTTTATAGCTTTCATGTGAATTGGCTTTTAAAAATTGCATTGGTATGACTTTGCTCGATTTAAAGACGATTTGATAAGAAAAGCAAATATCTTTAAACAGCGCATGTAGGCATATAGCTGGCCCTGCATATTGAACTAGCTTTTGAAGTACGCTTGCCGCAGTAGGTAATGCAAGTATTGCACGATATAGTGACAGTCAAACTCTGTATACAAGCCTGCATTAAAATATGGAACAAGTTATGAAATATGTAAGGCAAAATAATAAAAAAAAAAACATGTTTAGCGTCCTGCCTCTTTGACAAAAAGGAAGGAGGAGGCCCTTCTTTTTTTTTTTTTTTTTTCAAAATGGCCGCCAGACACATTTTTCAAGACAACGCGGCCGGGCTATTTTTCAAGTTGGTTACCAGCTTTTTTCAAAATGGCCGCCACTTGGACTCATTGACTATTTCCACAGCTTTATACACGGTATAAAAGTCTAAAAATATGATTTCTTTCGTCAGAGATCGTTAAAATTTATCAATTTTTGTCTTTAAAAAAAAAAAAAAAAAAAAAGGAGGCGGCCTCTAAAAAGGAAGCGGGCGGGGACGCTCAACATGTTTTTTTTTTACTTCGCCTAATGTCTTCAATTTGCAACAAATCTTATACATACATGTACATGTAGTTATTGGTTCTACTCGGTTGATGTACTGGCAAAGTCGCTTGGGAGAGCCCCTTGCAACGATTAACCCCAGTGTTCACAGTTCACACAAGAAAAGTTTAATTAAGTAGGACACTTTAATATTGCGTGAGTTTTATTCCAACTTCCAAAACGTCTGAACCAGCAGACTTGCTTGTATCAAAAAGTACACAAAAGAATGCCTTGCACAACTTATATTTTACAATAATCATTGTACAGTAACCTGATGGGAATTTTAATCATTGTAATCACTATTCTTGGCAGTATCACCAGTTCCTGAAGGTGTGAATATGTAAGTCATTAAAATGGAAATTCAAGGTAGAACATGCCTTCAAAGTTTCTAGAAAACAGCCTAATAGTGCATGAGGAATACATTTCGATTTGATCTGGATACAAATGTGATTTAAACGCTTCTACTGCCAAGACAAATTTTATACTCATTTCGACTGAGATTTATAATCTAATATAATCTGTGAAGACTTGCACTGAAAATGTATTAATTAAAGCAAATCACTTCATATAGCCCTTTATCTCTGTGTCACTTTACAATCATTACCTAATTTAATATGCAAATGAAAAACAAACCAGCAAAATTTCAGTACAATTAAAAATGCTAATCTGTATTAACAATAGAAAAGGAATATTTCATTTTCAAATAATTACTTTTTGTGGATTCACTTTTTTCGCTTAAACCTTTTTTTAACCGAAGTATATAACATCATGGAGTTACAGAAATGGGTAATATACATTCATGTGAAATAAAAAGACGTTTTCACTAGAATAATGCATAACTCTGATATGAAAGACATACAATATATCAAAACAAGGCACATGTGACACTTCTAAAGTGGATTTGTGTATATTATCTATAAGTAGGTGACTGACGTCTGATCTAAAATATACAGATACGAATCATAATAACCTTCAAGTTTTTATACATGTATCTTCATTCACTCATCTTGGGCAGAATAATTGAGACTTTATTGAAACATTATCCGATTTCAACTGAACACTTTAGCTGCGTGGTAACTTCAGTCGCCATATAACACACAAACGATCAGGTTTCCTGATCAAAAGCCTCGTATTTTTTTTCTCCTAAAGACGACCACCCTTCACAATCAAAGGAGTTATAAAACATGTATAGGCCTATACCAGCTGTAGCGTTCGCTACCAACAAGATCAATAAAATCCAGTCGTGAGTATTTTGGCAGTGCTACCCGGACAATTCTGATCATATACCTCATGCACATGAATGCATTCGCTTGAAAAGCAGTATGCTTGTAATTTCCCAGGTAGCACTGCCAAAGTCCGGCCCACGACAGGATTTGATTGATCTTTTGTTGAATGCGACTGCTACAGCCGTATAGGTCCTTAATGTCTTATAGCTCTTCTGACTTCTGACTGTAAAGTAATTATAATGCGCTCAGTGTGCACAATCAAACCTCCTTTGTTGGCCTATAGAGATTATAAGCAAGCAATTCACATAAGCCCAACACCGCTCACAAAAGCCGAAAAGTTCGACTTTGGTTAGGGAACGGGTCTTACTGGGATGAAAACAACAAACTCATCCTGACCATAATGCCTGGGTAAAACAAGTAAAACTAGAAATGTATTTGTCTAGTGATCGGAACTTAAGGAACTAAAGGTCCCACCTAAGGTTTGTAAACTTGAATAAACCGAAGTTGAAGTAGGCCCCGGGCCCCGGGGACGAGTTTGAATCAGAATTCTACTTGCTGTAAACAAGGTTGACTTCTGTGACATTTTGATCCCTGCATCACATGGCAATTGCATCAAAGTTTCTGGATTTTATTTGTATGAACCCGGATCTTCCAACCGAATTCTCAAGAACGGATCATATCCCCCCCCCCCTCCTCTGATAATACGGATGTGAAGTGAGGCGAATCAGAGGAGGGGTCAAAGAAAAACATTCGTCCCGGGATCACCATTGGTTTTAAAAGACTTTTTTTGACTTTATTTAAAAGGACTTGTGAACACGATATATGCTTCCTATAAAATCGCTCAGAAAGAAATATAGTTATACTCTTAAAGAATTCGTCACAAATATTAGGCAATGTGACGCACAATAAGCAACCACAGAGAAGAAAGCAGAGTGAACCATGCCGCGAATACTGCAATTAGGTGACTACATGTACATGTATATGATAGCATGCAGTCGGTGCACCATGGGAGAGGGTCGGTTACCATATTAAACATCAAGGACTGGCCAGTCTGCACTTTGACTTGCGTTGTTGTGTGAAGAGCGTCAGATGGGCCCTAATTTAATATGCAACTGATGTTAAAACGCGCACAAGACATAAGTCACGAGCACATTAAGGCTATTTCGTTAGTCCCTGAATATTTCTCCCTCTCCCCCCCCCCCCCCCACCCCCTTCACTTATAACTGACTGTACCGTGCAACTTCTTAACCCTGCGCAGCGTTTACAAAAAAAACTTTACAACAACTCGTCAACTGCTGCCAGAGGGCAGCAGCTACTTTCCCGCACTACGCAAGACCCTATTCATAGCAATACAACAAAAAGCTACGTGCCAGACAGTGTCCAGACAGTTACCAGACAGTGCGCTGGAAAGATAATTGGCTGGCGGCTGTGGTATGCAGTTGTATGCAGTTATGAAGGGAGATGGCTGTGTCAAGTTACATGTCTTTCTTGATGTTTCAATGAGACTTGGCAGGAGGCCTGGTCGAAAGTTTGTTGACATGGCCTGGGCGAAGCCCTGGCTGCAAAGTTCATTGAACCAGCTTATTTGGCAAGGGTCGAATGAGGATTAGATGGAAGGTGACCGTCATTGGCCCTCAATTATTTTTTTTTAATTCGGTTACCTGGGGCCCAAAGGGCAACAGGTCACTCTGCGCAAGGTTAAGCTTTAGCATGAAGTACATGTTGGGCAATGTATTATACATAAGTTTGGACAGAATTTAGTTTTACATCTTTTGCCCCAGACTCTGACCCCGAGTCACGTTTCACGTCGCTTGGGTTTGTCCCCTTTGCCGTATTTTTTTTGTTTGACAGCTGTTACTTTGCAGTGATCATTGTGATAATGTTGAACCTTTTTGGGAATCGTCCAAAATCCATTACCGAACTTCGACAGAACCACGTACATGTTGTTCTGTGGAATAGGCCCTACACAGTGTAACGTGATCCAAAGTTCAATGGGGTAGAAACCTACTTAAAACTCATGCAGCAAATTGGGAAACCTTAATATGGGATGTTGAATAGCGGAGTACTTCATGTTTCCAGATCATTCATCGACTGCAACTAGCCTCGGTAAGAACACACAGCAAACCTGACTTGAAGATCGTCATCATGGCTTTCCGTAAGATTTCGTGCGTGATGTTCTTTGCGGTCCTCGGTTTAGTATCCGCGGATGACTGTCCACCGCTCTGGACACGCTACGGTAACTACTGCTACCGTTTCTTCGGTCCTCCCAAGACCTGGCAATCGGCAGAAGAGCACTGCCAAGAGTTCTTCACCCGAAACGGCCAGGGGCACCTGGCGTCCATCCACAGTTCCGGGGAGAACTACTTAATGCTCCAGATGTGGAGTACCTCTCTGGTACCAAATGAGGAGATTGTGGGAGCTCACGTCTGGATTGGGCACAGTGACCTGGCGAATGAAGGAAGCTTCACCTGGAGTGACGGGACGAGCTTTGACTACGACGCCGGGTGGCGTACTGGCCAACCAGACGACTCTGGAGGTGTCGAGGACTGCGGCTCTATCTGGAGAGACGCCGAGTGGGTTGGATGGAATGATGACCGTTGCCTTTGGGCTCTCCCATACATTTGCAAGATGCCCTCAAATTAGAACAGAGAGAAGTAAAGGGGTAAACCACCGCTATTCCCAGATGGTACAACAATGACTAACCTGTTATCCAATATCCTGTCACCAGGCGGAATCACTGACTTGCAAAGACAATTACGAACAATTCACTGGGTCTTATCAACAATTCACTGGGTCTTGTAGCCTGGCTTTGCGTGCCCTACGGAAACATGATATCCTAACAACAGTTACGTGACGATTTCGGTTTAATCGGAAATTGGTCTTGTTTACAAACGTTGCGAAACATCAACTTTAGCCGACGCACCCACATTGAAAACTGGATGAGTGACTGCATGATGTTCTCTGAATGATGAGCGCTTTCTAAGCATTCCTTCGAACCATTTCACTACATAATCACCGCATTTTTGAATGAAGGTAATTTCAGTAAGTTCGGTGCCTGATGATCATGTTTCATAAACACTTTAATTCTCGCATCGGTTCACACTGGATTTTTGTTCTACTATATTATTAACCTCACTGACTCTTTGGATCTGACACAAGTCACAAAAACGACTTAAATACTTTCGACAGCCTCAGATCAGTGGCACTTCAAGTTCATTTCTTAATAATTTCAAGTTGATTTTATAGCTTTCATGTGAATTGGCTTTTAAAAACTGCATTGGTATGACTTTGCTCGACATAAAGACGGTTTGATAAGAAAAGCAAATATCTATAGACAGCACGTGTATATGTAGCTAGCTGGCCCTGCATACTGAACTTGTAGCTTTTAGATTACGCTTCAAGCAGTAGGTAATTAAGCCTGCATTAAAAAAGAAACAAGTTATTAAATATTTAATGTCTTTGATCTTCAACAAATCTTATATTGTCCTACATGGTAGATATAATGGCAAAGTCGCTTGGGAGACACCCCCCCCCCCCCCGTAACGATTAACTGAAGTGTTCACACACAATTCACACACAAAAAGTTTAACTGAGTTAGAAACTTTAATATTGCTTGTTTTATTCCAACTTCCAAAACGTATGAACCAGCAGACTTTCTTGTATCAAAAAGTACACAAAAGAATGCCTTGCACAATATCCACGTATATTGTACCCTAAAGGTGTTTTTCCCCATATAATATCATGAACTTTAATCGTTGCAATCAGTATTCTTGACAGTATCACCAGTTTCTGAAGGGGTTAATATTGTAATTAAACAGCAGAAAACAACCTAATATACAGTATGTCCCAAACAAGTGTCAGTCTGACTATTTTCGAAATAATTACAAAACTATGAAGTCAATTTTGAAATTTGTTTGGTTGTGCAGATACTCCTAAGCCTTGGCCTCAACCCTTGTGGGTTTCATTTAATTTCAGTCACGCATCACTACTCAATTGTCAATTGATCACAACAACATTTTTGGACACTGTCCTTGCATTATTCCATTTCAGTACTGTGTTAAGTAAGCTGTGTAAAATCCTTCATGTTGTAAAAAGGGCTGCAGTTGGGATTGGAATCATTTGCCTGGCTATCAGTCATCTTTGGCAAGACCTCAGTTTAATGCTCAAGGGCAAATGATTCCAATCCCAAACCACATCAGCCTTTTTCCCCTAACATGCAGGATTTTACACAACTTACATAAAACAGCATTGAAATTGATTATGAGGCATGTCCAAAAATGTTTTGTGATCAATTGACAATTGTGCAATGATGCGTTACTGAAATTAAATGGAACGTATAGGGTTTGAGGCCAAGGAGTAGGAATATCTGCACAACCAACAATTTTAAAACTTGACCTCGTGGTTTTATAGTTATTTTAAAAACAAACAGTCAGACGGACACTTTTTGGGGACATACTGTGGTTCATGAGGAATACATTTTGATTGAATCTAGATACCGATTTGATTTAAATGTTCCTGTTGCCAAGACACCTTAGCACTGAATTGGATTGTGAATTTAAAATCCCATAAAATCTGTGTATAATCTTTTTCATGTACTGAAAATATATTCATTATAGCACTTCATCTTTATTGTTTTGGTTGTATTGTGTTTCTCATTATGTATTACATTGACAATTATTATTACCTGCAAAACAAATTTATGTGGAAAATAGAAACAGAGCAAAAAAGAGACTGTGTTCAATATTAAATGCTGCTCGGTACCAAAAGTATAAATGGGATGTTTTCAAATTAGTTTAAGTACCTTTTTACGCGCATTCCCTATATTGCACTTAAACCTTTAAAGAGCAACATATAACATGATGGAGCTACGAAAATGGGTAATATGCATTCATGTGAAATAAAAAGAAGTTACTAAGCACATATAAATAGATATGAAAGACATGCAACATATAGAAAAGCCTTTTTTGTATATCTATCAATACAGGAGTGAAGTGTGATCTAAAATGTACTAAACAGATACAATTCAAAATATCCTTCAAGTTTTATATATTCATTCATTCATTTGGGCAGAATAATTGAGAGTTTATTGAAAACTTTCATCCGACTTCAACTGAACACTTTAGCTACGTGGTAACTTCATTTTCCATGAGTGATAATATAGCCTACTTCAAGTTCAAGTTTCCTGGTCAATACTTTCGGCTAAATGGTGTCTTTTTCTTATAACCTCGGGGTAAATTAAGTGAAAACAATGCATAAAGCTAGGGTGCAGATTTTCAGGACGGTTAAAGTAGGGCTAGAGTTAAAAACTCTCCTATCACCAAGAATACGATAAAACACATTCGCTTGTTGCTTGTGGTAACAAATCGGAAATAAAAGAACTAGGTTTATATGTATATACCTCAAGGTTTGTAAACTGAAGAAACCGAAGTTGAAGTAGGCCCCGGGGACGAGTTTGAATCAGAATCTTACTTGCTGTAAACAAGGTTTGACTTCTGTGACTTTGGATCCCTGCATCACATGGCAATTGCATTCCTGTTTCTGGATCTTATTAGTATGAACCCGGATCTTCCAACCGAATTCTCAAGAACGGATCATGGTGAGTTTTTTTGAAAGCTCTGGCAACAGCGCTTCTATACAAGTCACTCGGGTGTCGGTCGGTCGGTCGGTCGGTCGGTCGGTCGGTCGGTCAGTCGGTCGGTCGGTCGGTCGGTCGGTCGGCCCCCCACCCCAGACAAAAAAATCCAAAAACGAACCCCCTAACTCACCCATAAAACTGTAAGTACCAAACTGTAACTGTCCGAAAAAAAGCAAACAAAATACATTAAATACTTGTTAAAAATTAACAATTCGTGACATTGTTTATGATTTTTTTTTAGAGGCAAGATAATGTGTGGTAATGTTAGGCCCCCCCCCCAAAAAAAAGTCGGTCTCTGGTCAGACTGAAGTTCCGGAATTGATGCGGCGACGCGGGTTTTTTTGGGGGGGGGTGGTTTTTTTTTTTTCAAGCTTGAATTGTACAGACAAGGTGGGTATTATTTCGCTTTTTTGTGTCCTCATTATACCTGTACATTGGTGTCCTCCATAATATGCCTTGGTGCCCTTTATCATTTGCCTTGGTGCAATTTCCCCATTCCTTGGTGCTCCTTGGTACAAACATTTGAGGAGGTGCGGCAATAGAGGGCGCTGTTGTAGCTTCCGTGTTAATTTGAAGGGAAACAAAAGGTTGACGCGCATGATTAAATCGACGCGCGCGCTGACCAGAGACCGAGTATTTTTTTTTATGGCCTTACAGTCACGTGCAACTTCTTAAGTTTTAGCATGAAGTACATGATGGACAATTATGTATTGTACATAAGTTTGGAAAAGATTTAGTTTTACACCTCCCCCCCCCCCCCCCCCCAAGAGTCAGCCCCTCAGGTTCGTCACAGGTAGTGGGGGACTGCCAATGGTACAGACACGGGCGTGTCAACATTGTTTTCCATGATGCATGGAGATTATCTGACAATTTTTCAAACGAAATCACGATCAAGAGATCCGGCTCGAAGGCCCAAATTATGTTCTGAACTTGGGTAGCTGGGTGGATGTTAATCTAATAAATGTGAACTTGATTCCATTAACTGTTACTTCTGGCCGATAAAGTTCAGCGTCAGTGATTTATTCTTTCTTTCCCTTTGTCCTTTTCTTCACATCTGTATTTGTTTCTTTGTTTCTTTGTATCTTTATGCTGAAATATCACTGAGAATTACATCAGTAATCAGTAAATGAAAATAATAATAGAGAGCAATCATTCAATGAATTAATAATAGAGAGTTACAACAGTTATCACTCAATGAAATGATAATAGATCCGACAATGTGACAATTATAGGCGAATATAGATTCTAAATAAACTGTTCATCATATCAAATATTACCACAGGAATGGAATTAAACAATTATAGTTTAGGTAACACAATGTCAGGGTGATTAAATGTTGAAAAACAGCAATTTTCCTGCATCAAGATGGAGATTTGCATGTAACCTGGATAGAAGCATAATCGGGATCAATTGTAATAGCGCCCTCTGTTGTTGGACTAGCTAGTTTTTACAAGGGGTGAACTTTCAAGCTCTATTGTGCCTGGCAATAGTGCGTTCGAGAAGCTCACCCGGATGCGTATTTATTTTATTTTGGCAGCATACATCGTATTACAACCAATCACATCACGCACCCTAAAATGAATATTTATCACGCTGTGTGGACGGAAAACACGCAGGTTCTGGTATTGTTTTCCCTAGAATTAAACTTATCCCAAAGAACAAAAATATTCGATGAAACTGGACATAGGCATAGTAGGTGGTTCGGGCCACAGATCTTGCGATCCATAGTTCCACTATCCACTAGTCCACATTCCCAAGAATGACGTCAGAGCTAATTCGAACCGTACGTGGCAAACCCGAGCCGGCATCCGGGTGAGCTACTCGAACGCACCCAGTATAAATGTCGGGTGCATATCCGGGTTCACACGTCACTCTGTTGCCCGGAAAGCAATGAAATGCCAAATAGAGGACAAAACAAGAACGTTAAATTGAAAGCGAATAGCAAAAAACGATAAAGCGAATAGTAAAGAGGAACATTTACACATTCATTCACCGCGGCAAATTGGCCTGTGAACACAACAAAACTGACTTGAAGATCGTCATCATGGCTTTCCGTAAGATTTCGTGCGTGATGTTCTTTCTGGTCCTGGGTTTAGTATCCGCGGATGACTGTCCACCGTTCTGGACACGCTACGGTAACAACTGCTACCGTTTCTTCGGTCCTCCCAAGACCTGGCAATCGGCCGAGGAGCACTGCGGAGAGTTCTTCACCCGTGACGGCCAGGGGCACCTGGCGTCCGCCCGCAGCTCAGGGGAAAACAACTTCCTGCTCCAGATGTGGAGTACCTCTCTGGTATCAAACGATGGCGTTGTGGGTGCTAGCGTCTGGATTGGGCTCAACGACCTGGCGAATGAAGGACGATTCACCTGGAGTGACGGGGGGCACTTAAACTACAACGGCGGGTGGCGTACTGGCCAACCGGACGACGGTGGACAAGCTGAGGACTGCGGCTGTTTCTGGAGGACCACCGAGCAGGTTGGATGGAATGATGAAGGTTGCGGTTTGGCCCTCCCATACAGTTTTATAGAGTGAACACGGCAAATCCGACTTGAACATCACCATCATGGTTTTCTGGCAGATTACCAAAGTGAACTGGAAGTACATTGTAATTATTGTCTGCACTCAAAATTGGTCGACCTACTTGTTTGTCAGAAGTGTTTTCTTGTTTGTAGGCGTATAATTAGACAGTAATCGACTGCGCATCTTAAAGGTAGAGTCCATCATTTGTAATTTGTGCATTTTGTTCGTTTGAAGCAACAAAAGAGTTCAAAATCTAATGAAGGATACTGAGCAACTAACCTGATGAAGTTTCAGCTAAGCTTCAGCTGTACATTCCGAGAAAAATAGCATTCTAAGATTTCAATTTCAAATCAAAAGTTGCTGAATCATGTTTTGAATTGTTTTGAATTGCAACTATACGCGACGTCGCGCACTGATCCGACGAATTATAACAACCGCGCGCGCGTGTGCGTCGTTCGAATACTTGTGCGCGCTTCGCTGAATAACAAAACGAACTACTAATTTAAATTTTCCTACGGTGCTTCTTAAGAATCACCGTTGGAAATGCCTTCTTTCGTTGATTACTTCAAAATGACAGCTTCCCAGAAAGAATAATTTCACAGGGAGTTTAGTCTCCTTACTATCTTTCAACCAAGTTAGTTTTTCAACAATAATTACGCCAGTTACTTTTCGGATGGCTGCAAATGATGGACTCTACCTTTAATCTGTACTCGCGTATACCCAACTTTCCTCTCAAAACTGGGATATTTGGAACTTGCCAAATGTTCACTTCTTGTGAATGTTGGGAAAAAAACATTATCACATGTAGGTTAATTAAGTGGCCATTGTTAGATTGCATCAACAACTTTTCCCAACTGCTATTTAACAGCTGGAGAAATGATAACATTTAGTGGGAGGGGGGAGTTTCATTAAATTGGCCTTGGTTACAAACTTGGCGAAATTTAACGTAAAGTTTAGCGGACACACCCACATCGAAAACTGCATGAATGACTGCATGATGTTCTCCGAATGATGAACGCTCTCTAAGCATTCCTTCGATCCATAGATAGTCAACTAATTTTTAAATGAAGGTAATTTCAGTAATTTCGGTGCCTGACGATCATGTTTCATTTAAGATCTCGCATCGGTTGACACTGTTTTTTTGTTCTACTAATTATTAACCTCCCTAACTCTTCGGATCTGAAACAGTGACCCAAAACCGACTTAAAATACTTTGGGAGCTTCAGACCAGTGACACTGCAAGTTCATTTCGTAATAATTTCCAAATGGCTTTTATAGCTTTCATGTGTGAATTGGCTCGTTTAAAAACCTGCATTGTGTGACTTTGCTCGATTTAAAGACGGTTTGATAAGAAAAACAAAAGCGCATGTAGGCTATATAGCTGGCCATGCATATGGAACTTAGGTTTTGGAGTATGCTTGCCGCAGTAGGTAATAATAAATATTGCACGATATCGTGACAGTAATACTCTGTATTAAAATAAGGAACAAGTTATTAAATATATAATGTCTCCGATCTTCAACAAATCTTATACGGTTGATGTAATGGCAAAGTCGCTATAGGTCACACAGGAAAAGTTTAACTGAGTAAGACACTTTAATATTGCGTGAGCTTTATTCCAACTTCCAAAACGTCTGAACCAGTAGACCAGTTGTATCAAAAAGTACATAAAAAGAATGACTTGCACAATTTATATTATACCCTAATTATTGTAACCTGATGGGAATTTGAATCATTGTAATCAGTATTCTTGGCAGTATCACCAGTTTCTGAAGGTGTGAATATGTAAGTCATTGAAATGAAAATTCAAGGCAGAACATGCCTACAGAGTCTCTAGAAAACAACCTAATAGTGCATGAGGAATACATTTCGATTTGATCTAGAGACAAATGTGATTTAAACGTTCCTACTGCCAAGACAAATTTTATACTCATTTCGACTGAGATTTATAATCTAATATAATCTGTGAAGACTTGTACTGAAAATGTATTAATTAAAGCAAATCACTTCATATAGCCCTTTATCTCTGTGTTACTTTACAATCATTACCTAATTAAAATATGCAAATGAAAAACAAACCAGCAAAACGTCAGAACAATTAAAAATGCTGATCGGTATTAACAATAGAAAAGGAATATTTCATTTTCATATAATTACTTTTTGTAGATTCACTTTTTTCGCTTAAACCTTTTTTAACCGAAGTATATAACATCATGGAGTTACAGAAATGGGTAATATACATTCATGTGAAATAAAAAGACGTTTTCACTAGAATAATGCATAACTCTGATATGAAAGACATACAATATATCAAAACAAGGCACATGTGACAGTACTAAAAAGTGGATTAGTTTATCTATAAGTAGGTGACTGACGTCTGATCTAAAATATACAGATACAAATCATAATAACCTTCAAGTTTTTATACATGTATCTTCATTCACTCATCTTGGGCAGAATAATTGAGACTTGTAGCCTAGTGGATAGCGAGATGAGCTATGGATATAAAAATCCCTGGTTCGAATCCACGTCGTCGCTGCTCATTTTCATCAGCTATTTTTCTTCTCCAAATTTATCACTGAGATAATTTTAAATTAAGGGGAAAATAGAACGAGAACCTAAGTCTTGCAATGATTCAAAGGAAAAACTGAATTTTCATGACATTGCCCCTAACCCTCCTAGGAAAAAAAATTACTCGTCCGGCCCAAGACAGGATTTGATTGATCTTTTGTTGAATGCGACTGCTACAGCCGTATAGGTCCTAAATGTCTTATAGCTCTTCTGACTGTAAAGTAATTATAATGCGCTCAGCTCAGTGTGCACAATCAAACCTCCTTTGTTGGCCTATAGAGATTATAAGCAAGCAATTCACATAATTCCAACACCGCTCACAAAAGCCGAAAAGTTCGACTTTGGTTAGGGAACGGGTCTTACGGGGATGAAAACAACAAACTCATCCTGCCTGCCTGGGTAAAACAAGTAAAACTAGAAATGTATTTGTCAAGTGATCGGAACTTAAGGAACTAAAGGTCCCACCTAAGGTTTGTAAACTTGAATAAACCGAAGTTGAAGTAGGCCTCGGGCCCCAGGGACAAGTTTGAATCAGAATCCTACTTGCTGTAAACAAGGTTGACTTCTGTGACATTTTGATCCCTGCATCACATGGAAATTGCATCAAAGTTTCTGGATTTTATTTGTATGAACCCGGATCTTCCAACAGAATTCTCAAGAACGGATCATACCCCCCCCCCCCTCCTCTAACAATACGGATGTGAAGTGAGGCGAATCAGAGGAGGGGGTCAAAGAAAAACATTCGTCCCGGGATCACCATTGGTTTTAAAGACTTTTTAACTTTATTTAAAAGGACTTGTGAACACGACATGCTTCCTATAAAATCGCTCAGAAAAAAATATAGTTATACTCTTAAAGAATTCGTCACAAATATTAGGGAATGTGACGCACAATAAGCAACCACAGAGAAGAAAGCAGAGTGAACCATGCCGCGAATACTGCAATTAGGTGACAACATGTACATGTATATAATAGCATGCAGTCGGTGCACCATGGGAGAGGGTCGGTTACCATATTAAACATCAAGGACTGGACAGTCTGCACTTTGACTTGCGTTGTTGCGTGAAGAGCGTCACGTGGGCCATAATTTAATATGCAATTAATGTTAAAACGCGCACAAGACATCAGTCACGAGCACATTAAGGCTATTTCGTTAGTCCCTCAATATTTCTCCCCTCCCCCCCCCCCCCATCCCACCCCCTTCACTTATAATTGACTGTACCGTGCAACTTCTTAAGCTTTAGCATGAAGTACTTGTTGGGCAATGTATTAAACATAAGTTTGGACAGAATTTAGTTTTACATCTTTTGCCCCAGACTCTGACCTCGAGTCACGTTTCACGTCGCTTGGGTTGTCCCCTTTGCCGTATTTTTTTTTTTTTTTTTGACAGCTGTTACTTTGCAGTGATCATTGTGATAATGTTGAACCTTTTTGGGAATCGTCCAAAATCCATTACCGAACTTCGACAGAACCACGTACATGTTGTTCTGTGGAATAGGCCCTACACAGTGTAACGTGATCCAAAGTTCAATGGAGTGGAAACCAACCTCGTCCCCAGGGTGTCGAGCAGTATGCGCCCACCACTACCTGCTCTCTCACCCTGGTATTGGATCATTTGCATGTGCAAGATTTTTGCACACGTATGCAAATGAGGAACAGTCTGGTGCCTGGATATGCGGTACACATTAGCGTTTGTTTTTGTATGCGGTGTCTGGGGTAAAAACAGAGTCAATTCGTAGCAGCGCGAGCACGGCGTGAGTTACTAAAAACACGATTTTTGAAATCAATCTGTAACGATCTTATCGAGACAACATGCAGTATCATATTTCATATTAATATGAGCAAATTGGAAAGGAAATTAGTATTTTCGAGAAGGCGTGGACGAATGATCGCAAAAAAACGTACTGCACGTTGTGAATTAATAGCACCAAGTACACGATGAAAATCCATTACTAGCCAATTGCGGTATCCAATCAGGATACAGGAAGAAAGTTTCCTATCCAGGGTTTACTATTGGAAACGCGGTTGGAAATAAAGTAAGCACTGGGGACGAGGTTGGGTGGAAACCTACTTAAAACTCATGCAGCAAATTGGGAAACCTTAATATGGGATGTTGAATAGCGGAGCACTTTATGTTTCCAGATCATTCATCGACTGCAACTAGCCTCGGTAAGAACACACAGCAAACCTGACTTGAAGATCGTCATCATGGCTTTCCGTAAGATTTCGTGCGTGATGTTCTTTGTGGTCCTCGGTTTAGTATCCGCGGATGCCTGCTGTCCACCGCTCTGGACAGGCTACGGTAACTACTGCTACCGTTTCTTCGGTCCTCCCAAGACCTGGCAATCGGCAGAGGAGCACTGCCAAGAGTTCTTCACCCGAAACGGCCAGGGGCACCTGGCGTCCATCCACAGTTCCGGGGAGAACTACTTAATGCTCCAGATGTGGAGTACCTCTCTGGTACCAAATGAGGAGATTGTGGGAGCTCACGTCTGGATTGGGCACAGTGACCTGGCGAATGAAGGAAGCTTCACATGGAGTGACGGGACGAGCTTTGACTACAACGCCGGATGGCTTACTGGACAACCGGACGACTCTGGAGAAGCCGAGGACTGCGGCTCTTTCTGGAGAAACACCGAGCGGGTTGGATGGAATGATGACCGTTGCCTTTGGGCTCTCCCATACCTTTGCAAGATGCCCTCAAATTAGAACAGAGAGAAGTAAAGGGGTAAACCACCGCTATTCCCAGATGGTACAACAATGACTAACCTGTTATCCAATATCCTGTCACCAGGCGGAATCACTGACTTGCAAAGACAATTACGAACAATTCACTGGGTCTTATCAACAATTCACTGGGTCTTGTAGCCTGGCTTTGCGTGCCCTACGGAACATGATATCCTAACGACAGTTAGGTGACGATTTAGGTTTAATTGGAAATTGGTCTTGTTTACAAACGTTGCGAAACATCAACTTTAGCCGACGCACCCACATTGAAAACTGGATGAGTGACTGCATGATGTTCTCTCAATGATGAGCGCTTTCTAAGCATTCCTTCGAACCATTTCACTACATAATCACCGCATTTTTGAATGAAGGTAATTTCAGTAAGTTCGGTGCCTGATGATCATGTTTCATAAACACTTTAATTCTCGCATCGGTTCACACTGGATTTTTGTTCTACTATATTATTAACCTCACTGACTCTTTGGATCTGACACAAGTCACAAAAACGACTTAAATACTTTCGACAGCCTCAGATCAGTGGCACTTCAAGTTCATTTCTTAATAATTTCCAGTTGATTTTATAGCTTTCATGTGAATTGGCTTTTAAAAACTGCATTGGTATGACTTTGCTCGACATAAAGACGGTTTGATAAGAAAAGCAAATATCTATAGACAGCACGTGTATATGTAGCTAGCTGGCCCTGCATACTGAACTTGTAGCTTTTAGATTACGCTTCAAGCAGTAGGTAATTAAGCCTGCATTAAAAAAGAAACAAGTTATGAAATATTTAATGTCTTTGATCTTCAACAAATCTTATATTGTCCTACATGGTAGATATAATGGCAAAGTCGCTTGGGAGACACCCCCCCCCCCCCCGTAACGATTAACTGAAGTGTTCACACACAATTCACACACAAAAAGTTTAACTGAGTTAGAAACTTTAATATTGCTTGTTTTATTCCAACTTCCAAAACGTATGAACCAGCAGACTTTCTTGTATCAAAAAGTACACAAAAGAATGCCTTGCACAATATCCACGTATATTGTACCCTAAAGGTGTTTTTCCCCATATAATATCATGAACTTTAATCGTTGCAATCAGTATTCTTGACAGTATCACCAGTTTCTGAAGGGGTTAATATTGTAATTAAACAGCAGAAAACAACCTAATATACAGTATGTCCCAAACAAGTGTCAGTCTGACTATTTTCGAAATAATTACAAAACTATGAAGTCAATTTTGAAATTTGTTTGGTTGTGCAGATACTCCTAAGCCTTGGCCTCAACCCTTGTGGGTTTCATTTAATTTCAGTCACGCATCACTACTCAATTGTCAATTGATCACAACAACATTTTTGGACACTGTCCTTGCATTATTCCATTTCAGTACTGTGTTAAGTAAGCTGTGTAAAATCCTTCATGTTGTAAAAAGGGCTGCAGTTGGGATTGGAATCATTTGCCTGGCTATCAGTCATCTTTGGCAAGACCTCAGTTTAATGCTCAAGGGCAAATGATTCCAATCCCAAACCACATCAGCCTTTTTCCCCTAACATGCAGGATTTTACACAACTTACATAAAACAGCATTGAAATTGATTATGAGGCATGTCCAAAAATGTTTTGTGATCAATTGACAATTGTGCAATGATGCGTTACTGAAATTAAATGGAACGTATAGGGTTTGAGGCCAAGGAGTAGGAATATCTGCACAACCAACAATTTTAAAACTTGACCTCGTGGTTTTATAGTTATTTTAAAAACAAACAGTCAGACGGACACTTTTTGGGGACATACTGTGGTTCATGAGGAATACATTTTGATTGAATCTAGATACCGATTTGATTTAAATGTTCCTGTTGCCAAGACACCTTAGCACTGAATTGGATTGTGAATTTAAAATCCCATAAAATCTGTGTATAATCTTTTTCATGTACTGAAAATATATTCATTATAGCACTTCATCTTTATTGTTTTGGTTGTATTGTGTTTCTCATTATGTATTACATTGACAATTATTATTACCTGCAAAACAAATTTATGTGGAAAATAGAAACAGAGCAAAAAAGAGACTGTGTTCAATATTAAATGCTGCTCGGTACCAAAAGTATAAATGGGATGTTTTCAAATTAGTTTAAGTACCTTTTTACGCGCATTCCCTATATTGCACTTAAACCTTTAAAGAGCAACATATAACATGATGGAGCTACGAAAATGGGTAATATGCATTCATGTGAAATAAAAAGAAGTTACTAAGCACATATAAATAGATATGAAAGACATGCAACATATAGAAAAGCCTTTTTTGTATATCTATCAATACAGGAGTGAAGTGTGATCTAAAATGTACTAAACAGATACAATTCAAAATATCCTTCAAGTTTTATATATTCATTCATTCATTTGGGCAGAATAATTGAGAGTTTATTGAAAACTTTCATCCGACTTCAACTGAACACTTTAGCTACGTGGTAACTTCATTTTCCATGAGTGATAATATAGCCTACTTCAAGTTCAAGTTTCCTGGTCAATACTTTCGGCTAAATGGTGTCTTTTTCTTATAACCTCGGGGTAAATTAAGTGAAAACAATGCATAAAGCTAGGGTGCAGATTTTCAGGACGGTTAAAGTAGGGCTAGAGTTAAAAACTCTCCTATCACCAAGAATACGATAAAACACATTCGCTTGTTGCTTGTGGTAACAAATCGGAAATAAAAGAACTAGGTTTATATGTATATACCTCAAGGTTTGTAAACTGAAGAAACCGAAGTTGAAGTAGGCCCCGGGGACGAGTTTGAATCAGAATCTTACTTGCTGTAAACAAGGTTTGACTTCTGTGACTTTGGATCCCTGCATCACATGGCAATTGCATTCCTGTTTCTGGATCTTATTAGTATGAACCCGGATCTTCCAACCGAATTCTCAAGAACGGATCATGGTGGGTTTTTTTGAAAGCTCTGGCAACAGCGCTTCTATACAAGTCACTCGGGTGTCGGTCGGTCGGTCGGTCGGTCGGTCGGTCGGTCAGTCGGTCGGTCGGTCGGTCGGTCGGTCGGCCCCCCACCCCAGACAAAAAAATCCAAAAACGAACCCCCTAACTCACCCATAAAACTGTAAGTACCAAACTGTAACTGTCCAAAAAAAAGCAAACAAAATACATTAAATACTTGTTAAAAATTAACAATTCGGGACATTGTTTATGATTTTTTTTAGAGGCAAGATAATGTGTGGTAATGTTAGGCCCCCCCCCAAAAAAAAAGTCGGTCTCTGGTCAGACTGAAGTTCCGGAATTGATGCGGCGACGCGGGGTTTTTTTTGGGGGGGTTGGCTTTTTTTTTTCAAGCTTCAATTGTACAGACAAGGTGGGTACTATTTTGCTTTTTTGTGTCCTCATTATACATTGGTGTCCTCCATAATATGCCTTGGTGCCCTTTATCATTTGCCTTGGTGCAATTTCCCCATTCCTTGGTGCTCCTTGGTACAAACATTTGAGGAGGTGCGGCAATAGAGGGCGCTGTTGTAGCTTCCGTGTTAATTTGAAGGGAAACAAAAGGTTGACGCGCATGATTAAATCGACGCGCGCGCTGACCAGAGACCGAGTATTTTTTTTTTTGCCTTACAGTCACGTGCAACTTCTTAAGTTTTAGCATGAAGTACATGATGGACAATTATGTATTGTACATAAGTTTGGAAAAGATTTAGTTTTACACCTCCCCCCCCCCCCAAGAGTCAGCCCCTCAGGTTCGTCACAGGTAGTGGGGGACTGCCGATGGTACAGACACGGGCGTGTCAACATTGTTTTCCATGATGCATGGAGATTATCTGACAATTTTTCAAACGAAATCACGATCAAGAGATCCGGCTCGAAGGCCCAAATTATGTTCTGAACTTGGGTAGCTGGGTGGATGTTAATCTAATAAATGTGAACTTGATTCCATTAACTGTTACTTCTGGCCGATAAAGTTCAGCGTCAGTGATTTATTCTTTCTTTCCCTTTGTCCTTTTCTTCACATCTGTGTTTGTTTCTTTGTTTCTTTGTATCTTTATGCTGAAATATCACTGAGAATTACATCAGTAATCAGTAAATGAAAATAATAATAGAGAGCAATCATTCAATGAATTAATAATAGAGAGTTACAACAGTTATCACTCAATGAAATGATAATAGATCCGACAATGTGACAATTATAGGCGAATATAGATTCTAAATAAACTGTTCATCATATCAAATATTACCACAGGAATGGAATTAAACAATTATAGTTTAGGTAACACAATGTCAGGGTGATTAAATGTTGAAAAACAGCAATTTTCCTGCATCAAGATGGAGATTTGCATGTAACCTGGATAGAAGCATAATCGGGATCAATTGTAATAGCGCCCTCTGTTGTTGGACTAGCTAGTTTTTACAAGGGGTGAACTTTCAAGCTCTATTGTGCCTGGCAATAGTGCGTTCGAGAAGCTCACCCGGATGCGTATTTATTTTATTTTGGCAGCATACATCGTATTACAACCAATCACATCACGCACCCTAAAATGAATATTTATCACGCTGTGTGGACGGAAAACACGCAGGTTCTGGTATTGTTTTCCCTAGAATTAAACTTATCCCAAAGAACAAAAATATTCAATGAAACTGGACATAGGCATAGTAGGTGGTTCGGGCCACAGATCTTGCGATCCATAGTTCCACTATCCACTAGTCCACATTCCCAAGAATGACGTCAGAGCTAATTCGAACCGTACGTGGCAAACCCGAGCCGGCATCCGGGTGAGCTACTCGAACGCACCCAGTATAAATGTCGGGTGCATATCCGGGTTCACACGTCACTCTGTTGCCCGGAAAGCAATGAAATGCCAAATAGAGGACAAAACAAGAACGTTAAATTGAAAGCGAATAGCAAAAAACGATAAAGCGAATAGTAAAGAGGAACATTTACACATTCATTCACCGCGGCAAATTGGCCTGTGAACACAACAAAACTGACTTGAAGATCGTCATCATGGCTTTCCGTAAGATTTCGTGCGTGATGTTCTTTCTGGTCCTGGGTTTAGTATCCGCGGATGACTGTCCACCGTTCTGGACACGCTACCGTTACAACTGCTTCCGTTTCTTCGGTCCTCCCAAGACCTGGCAATCGGCCGAGGAGCACTGCGGAGAGTTCTTCACCCGTGACGGCCAGGGGCACCTGGCGTCCGCCCGCAGCTCAGGGGAAAACAACTTCCTGCTCCAGATGTGGAGTACCTCTCTGGTATCAAACGATGGCGTTGTGGGTGCTAGCGTCTGGATTGGGCTCAACGACCTGGCGAATGAAGGACGATTCACCTGGAGTGACGGGACGAGCTTAAACTACAACGGCTGGCGTACTGGCCAACCGGACGACGGTGGACAAGCTGAGGACTGCGGCTGTTTCTGGAGGACCACCGAGCAGGTTGGATGGAATGATGAAGGTTGCGGTTTGGCCCTCCCATACATTTGCGAGATTCCCTCATATAACAGTGATGGGTATTAAGGGTTGAACGACCGCTATACATGACAGATGGTGAAACATTAACGTGTTAATTGTAAAGGCAATACCATAACCTTTATCAGAAATGCCAATCGACAAGCACCGAATCTTAGTTTGTGAAATATTCACTGGGTCTTTTAGCCTGATTTAGTGTGTGCCCTACTGAAACATGTAATCCCAACGACTTCTGTTTAATTAAATTGGCCTTGTTAAATACAAGCTTTGCAAAACACTTTACCTGACACACCTACATCGAAAACTGGATGATGATAAATGCCTTCTCGACTGGACATCAGGTGAATGTCTCAAGGATTCACTCGAACCACTGGAAGTCACAGCATTTTTGAACAGAGGTTTACACTATATCAACCTCCATGACTAATCGGATCTGATACAGTGACAAAAACGATTTTAAACGAAAACTTTCGAGAGCCTCAGATCAGTGACACTGCAAGTTCATTTCTTAATAATTTCCAATTGCTTTTATAGCTTTCATGTGAATTGGCTTTTAAAAATTGCATTGGTATGACTTTGCTCGATTTAAAGACGATTTGATAAGAAAAGCAAATATCTTTAAACAGCGCATGTAGGCATATAGCTGGCCCTGCATATTGAACTAGCTTTTGAAGTACGCTTGCCGCAGTAGGTAATGCAAGTATTGCACGATATAGCGACAGTAAAACTCTGTATACAAGCCTGCATTAAAATAAGGAACAAGTTATGAAATATGTAATGTCTTCAATCTGCAACAAATCTTATACATACATGTACATGTAGTTATTGGTTCTACTCGGTTGACGTACTGGCAAAGTCGCTTGGGAGAGCCCCTTGCAACGATTAACCCCAGTGTTCACAGTTCACACAAGAACAGTTTAATTAAGTAAGACACTTTAATATTGCGTGAGTTTTATTCCAACTTCCAAAACGTCTGAACCAGCAGACTTGCTTGTATCACAAAATACACAAAAGAATGCCTTGCACAACTTATATTATACTATCATCATTGTAACCTGATGGGAATTTTAATCATTGTAATCAGTATTCTTGGCAGTATCACCAGTTTCTGAAGGTGTGAATGTAAGTCAATGAAATGAAAATTCAAGGCAGAACATGCCTTCAAAGTTTCTAGAAAACAACCTAATAGTGCATGAGGAATACATTTCGATTTGATCTAGAGACAAATGTGATTTAAACGTTCCTACTGCCAAGACAAATTTTATACTCATTTTGACTGAGATTTATAATCTAATATAATCTGTGAAGACCTGTACTTAAAATATATTCATTAAAGCAAAGCACTGCATGTAGCCCTTTATCTCTGTGTTACTTTACAATCATTACCTAATTTTATAGGAAAATAAAAAATATACTAGCAAAATTAAGTATCAGTACAATTATAAAATGCTGATCGGTATTAACAGTAGACAAGGAATGTTTCATTTTATTACAATTACTTGTTTTTGTGGATTCCTTTCTTTTCGCTTAAACTTTGTTTTGAACCGAAGTACATGTATATGACATGGTATATACATTCATGTGAAATATAAAGACGTTATTACTAGAATAATGCATAACTCTGATATGAAAGACATACAATATATAAAAACAAGGCACATGTGACAGTACTAAAAAGTGGATTAGTTTATATTATCTATAAGTACATGTAGATGAGTGACGTGTGATCTAAAATATACAAATACAAATCATAATAATTTTGATATCTTCATTAATACATTTGGGCAGAATAATTCAGAGTTTATTGAAAACCACTATCGGAATTCAACAGAACAATTTAGCAACGTGGTAAATCCAGTCACAATGGGTAATGATAACATACAAAGTTCATGTTCCCCGGTCAAAACTTTCGGCTAGTGTGTTAATGCTGGAGGTACCTCAATAGACCCTTGTCATGCTGCCACCATTTCGATCATGTGCCCTGTATCCAACAACAGTACTGAATGATAATTTTTGTGTGCAGAAAGGAACCAGACTAATTTTCCTACCAACCTCGCTTTGGTTACGTTGATTTTAATGGGACAAATCAAGATGGCCGCAACATGACGATGGTCTATAATTTGGACACAACCCGAGCTTCAAGAAAGTGTTCTTTGAAATCAGACGTTGCTGTCATCAATGTCTCCGGAGCGCCTACTTGATCATGAGCCTTCCTTTTTGGCTTCGGTTGCTGAAGTTGTTGTTGCGGCTGCCCATGTAGAAGTACTCGCCCTGCGCAAACTCGATCAGGGCACCCCCCCCCCCTCCCCCATAGGACGCCGGGGCGTTGTTCAACAGGTTGTTCATCTTGCCCTTGTTTTGGACCGATCACCCTGGCACGTGGCAGCTTTCATGTACCTGTGCGATGGAAAGGACAGTTTGCATAATTGTGAATAATCAACATAAATTCATAAATTATACACATAGGTCTGTAATCTTAGCAGAAGCAGGCTTAAAAAATCTTTCTGATGTGCATGAACAGATAATGGCATTGTATGATTAACATGAAAAAATGTAGTTTGCAGGAACCACATACATGTTGTTCTGTGGAATAGGCCCTACACAGTGTAACGTTGTCCAAAGTTCAATGGGGGTGGAAACCTACTTGAAACTCATGCATCAAATTGGGAAACCTTAATATGGGATGTTGAATAGTGGAGTACTTTATGTTTCCAGATCATTCATCGACTGCAACTAGCCTCAGTAAGAACACACAGCAAACCTGACTTGAAGATCATTATCATGGCTTTCCGTAAGATTTCGTGCGTGATGTTCTTTCTGGTCCTCGGTTTAGTATCCGCGGATGACTGTCCACCGTTCTGGACACGCTACGGTAACTACTGCTACCGTTTCTTTGGCCCGCCCAAGACCTGGCAACCGGCCGAGGAGCACTGCCGAGAGTTCTTCACCCGTAACGGCCAGGGGCACCTTGCGTCCGTTCACAGCTCAGGGGAAAACAACTTCCTGCTCCAGATGTGGAGTACCTCTCTGCTACCAAGGAGGGAATTGTGGCTGCTGCCATCTGGATTGGGCACAGCGACCTGGCTAATGAAGGACAATTCACCTGGAGTGACGGGACGAGCTTTGACTACAACGGCGGGTGGCGTACTGGCCAACCGGACGACGCTTTTGAAGGCGAGGACTGCGGCTCTATCTGGAGGACCACCGAGCAGGTTGGATGGAATGATGGACGATGCGGTTTGACCCACCCATACATTTGCAAGATGCCCTCATATTAGAACAGAGAGCAGTAAAGGGGTAAACAACCGCTATTCTCAAATGTTAAAATTCTATAGCCTGTTATAATAATCAGGCGGAATCACTGACTTGTAAAGACAATAACGAACAAATCACTGGGTCTTATGAACTATTCATGGGATCATTTAGCCTGGTTTTGTGTGCACTACGAAAACATGACATTTAGGTGACGATTTCGTTTTAATCGGAAATTGGTCTGGGTTGCGAAACATCAACTTTAAGCTGACACACCCACATCGAAAACTGGATGAATGACTGCATGATGTTCTCCGAATAGTGAGGTACATTAGTAACAAAAATGCTAAGGATCGTTACACAGTGGACAAAAGCACCATTTTTTCACCAAAGCATCTCCATGGTGTACCTTTTCGAAAAAAAGACGGACGCAAAAAATTGAACGATGGAAAGGTCATGTATGACGTCATTATGACGTCATCAGCTAATTATTACATGAAAAAAAAAAAATTGATAATTCTTTTCAGAACTACAAGCATTACAACAACAAATGTGGTATCAAATTAAAGGGGACAGCAAGCTCTTTCATTTGAGTATGTCATGGGGATGGAATATAGTTAAGGGTGATTTTGTGGGTCAAACAGACCCCTTTTGGGGGTCAAAAGACATGTTTTTAGGCTAAAATCATGGATTTAGGGTAGTCACATTGACACCTTGTTTTAACATGCAAACAGTATGTGGTATTGTGAGATGTTGTTTTTAAGTTAGAGAGAAAGGCTCAAATTCTATGCTTAAAGAGTTTTTGTAATTGATTATTAGTATGTTTAGTGTTCCAAAGATAAGCGGAAACGTGAGGTACCTTAGTGATATAATCGTGACACGGGTGGACAAAAGCACCATTTTCACACCAAAGCATCTCCATTGTTTACTTCTTCGAAAAAAAAGTAGGATGCAAAAATATTGATGATGGGAAGGGTTATTTATGACATCATTATGACGTCATCGGCTAATTATTGCACACTTATACATTAAAATTGAAATATTAGTTAGGAATAAGCTATGGATCGTTTTTTTTACATTTAATATACATTTCTGAGATCAAGGAAATCAGTGCAGTTGCCAATTTTGTTCTTAGACTATCTTTAAAAGAGTTAAATACAAATAGTTTGATAAAATGAGGGATGTTTCCTAATTTGTAATAAATTAAACATGTATGTACATGTACATTTGACCCTCGCTCCTATCCCCTGTTGTGATCAATGATTCGTTAAAAAGCAATGTTTTACCGGTACGTCATGATTATCTCATAAATGATTACCTCAGGAATGATGCCACGAGGCATTATTTTCCACAAAAGTTTCTACTGTCCCTTCGGCTCCGTATTCTACATCAACTGGCAATGCATTTATTGCCCTAAACCCTTCAACATTAGCCAGGAATTGAGCATATACTTCTCCGGCGTTACAATTTAAACCTTTTTGTGGACAACGTAGTTTTTCTGGGCGCTGGGGGGGATGGAACATTTCATTGGGGGGGGGGGGGCGTCATGTAGATCAATGAAATTTTTTTTAGAAACTCAAAATCTCAGTGGGGGGGGGGCGGCTGGGGGGCGACAAGGTTTCATGCCCCCCCCCCCCCGCCCCCTGTGGCTACACCACTGCAGGTCATACAGTTAAAGTTTATGTAAACTTGAATGAAAAGTCAAAGAAAAGTAACTCCCATGATCTATTTGACACCAAGTTTGTGTTAACTTGCCGGTAACGCCCTAAAAAATTATCCTGATAAATATGTTTATTTTGTAACATTTTATGTTCGTCTGTCGGTCTTCTATGCTGTTATGTTTACTTTTAAGGTACCTTCAATGGTACTATGTTTAATTAACCTGTTCATTTGTTTAATTAAACTAATAACGCACATATAGTTGCCAAATATGGCACTAACAAGTTTGAAGTCGGCAATTTCGTCTTTAAAAATCTGGGTACATCGGGTTACCGTACACACAATTGTCATGGAGACAGCAGTACCAAAGTACAGAAAGTCGTACGCAAGAGCTCCCCAGCAAGTATCGCTGACGCCATTATGATTCCAAAATTTCTCACTGTGTCACACAGTGAAATAACTAAACAGCGTCGTTGTATTGTGAACACATAAAAGCATTCAAGTCGCGTTCTTGCACACTCTCTGCAAGTCGAAATAGATATCCTTGAACCACTGCCCCTGCTTTGCATAACAAGTGCACATGAATGAACGATTCGACTTTTATTCAAAGAAATTTCTATGTACAGTCACCAGACTCTATTCAGTAAAGTCCCCGTCAAAACGAAAGTATACAATCCACGTGCATAACGCACGGCTACACCATCGTACAGTGTGGCAGGGACACCAACACGTAACAAAACAACTAAAATAATTTTTTAAAATTGATAAATATTCTGATTGAATTTCGTTAAAAGATACTTGTTGACGAGGTATCACATATTCTAGCAAATTGATAAAAATGTACAATATTACAATTTGCAATTTTGAGGGAAATGCGCAAAATACTGCATAAATAATTTCACTTGATCATATTCATAATACACAAACCGACAATTTTCATTTTCAGACCCACAACGAGAAATATTGTTAACACTGGGCTTATTGTGAGGAGTTGTGCTGGGAATCCATGAAGATGTTATTTTCAACATATTTCTAAACAATTTAATGGGACATTCCTGTGACATGAGCCTTCCAGATGAAAAGATTATGTGTGGGAAAGTATGGTACACAAACACGACTGTGTGAAAGCAGTTGTTGATGCGATCCCTGAATTTACAGCGCTCCGTTTAAGGGTGCAGATAAATACCCCAATTTAAACAAATCGGGGAACATTAATCTGAATTAAAGCTGAATTAAAGCTGAATTAATCCTCTTTACCTTTTTGGAAATCTTTTTTTGGGGGGGGGGTGACCTATGACTTTTGGGTGATTTTTCCTCCAACGATGATCACCCCATCGCCATTTTGAAAAAACAAAAAACAAACAGATTCCTTCCACTCCATATCAACATAGATTCCATTCAAATGTTTTGTTCAGAAATCCAAATTCAGGGACATGGATCCTTCACTTC